GAATTCTTAAAATGAGCCTGAAATGTCTCTCACACACAAAACTCGATTACCTGACCGCGATTACCATAAAAAAGCTATAAAGCGTATCTCAATTGGCATATACACATACGGTGCGATGATACGACAGCGTCTTATCTTTTTAAATATCCATAAATAAGCACAATTAATAAAAATTCAAATCCAATAAATTTATCTCTACTTCTGAAGAAAAGAAAAAAAAATATATGTATATATGTAGCCACAGAGAAAAAAAGACACAGTAGCCGAAAATTTTCTCGAGAAATATCCCAATTAGGCAGTGTCAGCGAGACATACAGAAGTTATAAGCGACATATAAAATTGTCGTTTCATTCAAAAAACGATTTTCAATAAAATTCCAAAAGTTATGGTATGTTAACGATATATGCCTGTATATATATATATACCCTCGAAATTATAAAAGAGATGATACAAGTTGATTGCATTCTCACGTAAACGTTTTATTATTGCGCTTTTTATTCAATCTGATTAGTCATTTTATTTGCTAATTATTAATTAAGTTAATGTTGAAGTCTTTTTTGTTGTTGGTTTATGAAAAACTGTTGGATTAAGTTTCATTTTGCGAGGAGAAGTTAATTGGGAGTTAATTGCTAATTACTGTATCTTGAGTGACTCAAGAAATATTGAGGATCGTCAAGAATATATCGTGATTCAAGGATTAAGTCAGTTTTGACGAATTAGGGGATTTAACAAGACATTAATAAACTCTTGACACCATTAGGGGCCGTTCACTTATGACGTCTAGGGGGGGGGGGGGGGGGGTCAGCAAGAATAGAACAATAAAAATTCCTGGAAATCCATTGTTCTCTTTTGAAAAATAACCGTTAATTTCGGACGTTATAAGTGAACGATCCCTTACTGATTATTTGATCCTAAAAACTAGAAAAGCCTTGCATTTGGAGATTATAAATGTCCCTAGAAGCAGTACTAAGTAGCCAACCTGATCAACTCTTATGTACTACTCTTCACATTGCGGGTAAACAGATATTATACTTTGAACCACTAAACAGCTGCTTAACATCCACTTCCAAGTGGGTGCCCATTTTAAACGACTGTCAGGAAGTTGTTGCTTAATTCTAAATGAACTAGCTGCCTTATGGACAAGTTTTAACGTATATTAATCAGGTATAGTACGATTTCGATGCTACATTAACGATTCATGTTATTAAGACATGAAGATTGACTAAAGAATAAACCCAGCCACACTAGCTCACGTTTTCTTTAGTATTGAATGCCATAAAGAGACTTTCCTGTAACAGCACATAATGAAAATGTCATGACATTATTAGCAGCCATGGGACTGTTTCAAAAAAACCTAGCTAATATTCAAAATAGTCAACATAACCTAAAACTACAATAATTTATCGGACAACATTCACAAAATACCCTCAATCACAGTTGACTACTCCTTGCTGTCAAATTCATCCGTGCCTAAAACGGAAGCCACAAAAAACAGAACAATAAAAGGCACAGCAAGCGTAACCCCATCAACAAGATCCAATCATCAATCCATAAAAAAAAAGTCAATCAAAATCAGACAAACTTCGTCCAACAACAACCAGTTCTCTTTAACTTTTAAGTGCATATAAAAACGATGGTAAAACAATCGTTGTCACTTCTTCGCATCGGCATGGAGAAGAACCTTTAAAATTAATTTTTGTCGAAATAAAGTTTCATTAATTGGACTAAACGACTGACTACTTAATTAAATATACATCATTAGATATGGAAAAACTTGTTTGTTTTCGTTTCACTCCTATGCGTTGTATTGATGTCTCTGTGATCTGATAAGAATTTACTTTTTTTTCTTGTTGTTGTTTCATTGGATATAGCGCGATTAAAGATTAATGTTTCCTGTATTATATGGTACAAAACTTTTTTTTGAATGAGAATAACACTCAATTCATTCATTCATTCAGCATACACGAACTACAATGATTGACATTAACCCTATATACATATGAATCCACATCTCTACAGACATAAATATTTTGTTTATTGAGAAAAAATTTTAATTGTTGTAAAATTTTTCTTTCTCTGCTGATTCTTCATCGAATATTCTGTTTTATTGTTTTTCAGTAGCTGTTTTGGGGTTCATTCACATCTGATGTGTATAAAAATTGGGTTTTCGATACACATTTCTTGGTACACCTTGCATCCACTCTCTCATTTCAGCTTTAGGGTCAAAAGGTTCTAGTGGACCGTCTCCCCTACTTATGAACATTAATGCGCAGTTTCTAGGTTAATCGGAGTTCCAACCCTAGTCAAAGCTTTTCGATTCAAATATAAAGAAGCCCTTTTAAACCGGCTCCTGACGCCATAGATAAATGACCCCCCAAGTCATATGCTTTTGAGTTGAATTAAGAATTAAAACCGGTAGTGAAACGCAATGCACGAATTTGTCATCGAAAATTTAATTGGGAGCATAACATTGTGAAGAGGAGAACAGGAGAAAAAATTTTGATTGCAGTCATTTTTTTTGGGTAGAGGGAAAATGAGATTTAGCACAATGCACAATGAAATAAGACATAAGAAAGAAAGCCAATTAATATGGCGTTTCGTTATGTTCCTTCATGTGTTTTTCTTCTCTTTCTCGCTATTCTGAAGTTGGTGCTGTTGATTTTTTTTAGCTGTTTATTTTGGGTGAACTGGATATTTGGAGATAAATTTGACTCTGAACCTAACCTTTGGTTAAAATCTATTAAAGGAACAAATCTCAGTTTTTGTATCCGTTTGCATTATCATGAAACAGTACAAGTGTTTGAGAACCATTCAATTGTCTTCAAAACCTATCAAATGTATTTAAACTGATTACAAAACCCTTCAAATGTTTTGTTTTTCAAGAACCATACAACATCATACTGAAAACCATATAAATGTTCTTCTTCTTCTTAATTAACTTTATTATGGTCCATCAGCTTATTGCTATTTAAAGACCGTTCACAATTCCAGGTAGTTTAATTTACAAATATACACAAAGAACAATCAATAAAATCCAGTCAACTCCAAATGGTTGACAGAAAACATGCCCTCGATAAGTAAAAACAACAAAAAACCATAGCTAGGCAAAAAAATTCCATCTTCAGTTGTCGATGATCCAGATTTCTGACAGTCCTTGTAATTTAACTTGTGATATTCCAAATAGATTCAAATTTTTGTTATGTCTCGATTGTGATTTGTCATTGTAATTAATATGTTCTGCTGTATTCCGAGATGATCGATTCCTATTTGTCAATGTTGATTTGTTGAAATCCAGTCAGCACCAATTGATTGATAGAATTGCCCGCGATATATGGGGAAACACACAAAACCCATCGCGAGACAAATTCTCCTCACAATTGACGATAATCCGTTGTATTCCAATAATATACAATATGTCTAGGTTATGGTTATGATAGAACCTTCTTGTCCACGATTGTTGGTAAAACACAAAAAACCCACGTGAAACAATTGATTCTCCTCACAACTGCCGCCGATCGTGATTTGTCAATGTAATTAAATGTTCGTTGGTATTCCGATGATGATCTATTCCGTTTTATCTAGGTTATGTGCAAAATTTGCACATTTTTTTCAATTTCAATTTATATCCAAAATTTAATTAAATCGCGACTTTGCTGAGTTTTCTCCTTGGTTTCTTTGTTACTTTGAAGACAGTTCCCGTAGGTTTGTGACTTATTCCTACGCGTAATTAATTCATTTTGAAGTATTGCACAATTCCACAACCTCCTCATTCGGAGGTTGGGAGAAAACTCCCATATAAATGTTTTTAAAAATTCGTTCAAAAACATGCTACAAAAATAAAATCACCAAAAAAGCGCCAAAAGCTTCCCCAAAAAATGTCCAATCAAACTTATTAACAAGAAATTGAAGTTTAGCAATATTTTCGTACTGATACTGTTGCAATAATATAAATGGTGCTACTTATATACGTGCTGAAGCATAAAGAATTTTAACAAGCTGCTCTTAGTATTTTGTTATTATTTTCTCTTCCTTTCTTTTTTTTATTTTTCGATTTTTGCTTTACATTTTTTATCATCTCTCCCTCTCATCGCTCTGTTCAATTTTAAAAGAAGAATAAATAAAATAAAATAAAAATAAAAAATGCGAAGAAGGAGATTGAATTTTGTCGCAATAATTTTTTTATCTGTATTTTTCTTTTCATCATTATTCGGCGTGCGACATACACGCATTTAATATTAATTGGCTTTATTTGTCGTTATTCAGGTATATATCGCAATTTTAAATAAAAATGGAAAAAAAAGAGAGGAGAAACAAAGCGTAATCGAAAATTCAATTAGTTAAAGGAGCAGCTTCAATTATAGAGATAGAATTAAATGAGAAATGCCATCATGCTTATGTTCATATAAAGAACCAGTTTCCTTACACTTGTCATCTTATAATTTTCACGATTAATTTTAAACGACGATGACTTTTCTGTTTTCTGCTCTTGCTGCCTTCTTTTCTTAATATGATTTATTGGAATTTATTGAATTAATCAATTAATTAACCATCAATATGATTTGTAAGGAAAAATTAATCAAATTTTTTATTTCTCTTGAGCTTTTTTGAATTAATTTAATTAAACTCCTCCATTGATATCCATAAAAAGCTTAACGTTGATTCGATTAGCTCTCTTGGCTATCAATTTGTAAAGTTTGCGTACAGAGGGGTCTCCTGGAAATGGTGCTTTAATAAATTGAGGAATTTTTTTTTGTATTTCAACGTTTTATTTTAATTCAAAATTGTAACGGTTTTCAAAAATTTGAATCTTATCGGTTATTTTCAAAAAATTCAAATTCTAGATGTAAAAAAACAAGATTTTAATTATTTTGCTTTATTTTAACTGTGTTTTAAGCCTTTTTAATAGTCAGAATACTTTAAAACATAACAAATTACGATATCAACACTTAATATTTGACAAGCAACTCAACAATCGATTGATACAAGCGTTAATTAATAATATGGCTTTAGAATCAGATAATTATTTTAAATACGGTAAGTATTAATTATAATACAATACAGACTAGCTGAAATTGCTAACGTGTGTGTGAAATTCACATCCAGTTGATAAAGGTTTATCAAAATTCCTTATCTTATCAATGACGCAGTAAAAAATTCAATGCTCAGTGCTCGATTCTCTTAATTTCATTCATTAGTCGTTTGAGAGACATTGTCTAGTACGGGATGTGTATTTTTGTGAAATAAATTCGCTTATCTAAAGGTCATTTGACTTGTTACAAATTTAATAGTTTAATTAATTCCATTTTTAATCAAATTACATGAGAGACTATTAGTGATAAGCAAAAAGTAGTGTAATTAATTTCCATCCACTATCTGATCTAATCTGAGACATTTCACAATGTTATCAGCAGTAAAATAAAGTTTTTAAAGTGTGAATCACGTCAATATTTTGATGAAATCTCTGGATGATTCATCAGCATGTAACAGAAACAAAAAGAACCGAATTGCCACTTTAATCCCCGTTCCTTATCTTGTATACAGGAATTGAAGTCCTTATCATCGACTGTATTATCTCATATTCAATAGGAATACAAAACCATTAATTAAACTTAATAGCCGCCTTATTAACACTTTTTATGTCATAAAACTTGCTTCTAATTGTTCTCGTGACTCGTTCATAGGATTCAGCAATTTTACATTCAACGTCGATCGACCAAAAAGAATCATCACGATGAAGAACTACAAAGGAATTTTATATGGTGCAGTAGCATATTCAGTCGTAAGTTCATCAATATCAATTATTCTCAGGATAATAAGCTATTAATGCCAACCGTTGCTCTTACGAAATTCGTATCGACATAAACTGCTGCTACTCAGTCGCGTGAATGATAAACGAAATTAACAGCACCAAAATCGAAACTAAAACCCGTCATTTTTTTTTATTTTTTTATGGATTGATTGATTTATGTAATATAAATAAATAAAGTTGATGTCATTTTCGGAATCACAAAAATGAACGAATGAATGGGAAATTGATTTTTTTGGTAAATGTTCAATTATATTCGCACGTTTGAGGCAGCGCAGCTGTCATTAAAATAGTTTAATTACGGAATTTTGACAAGTGATCAATTTTGGAAATGAATGTTGATGTGCTCTGTGCAGTCATTGCTTGTAAAAGCGCAGTGCTTAATGTTCAGTAAAATTTATTTTGAAAAATAACTGCCACAAAATATTTGAAAATGCAACTTAACGAAAAATTTGAATTAATAACGGATAAAATAATTTAATTAACGAAAGAAGTACATCAGGTCAATCGAAGATTTTTGCAAGGCACAGCTGATTAAGTTCTGAAGAAAAGCAATAAATAACAATAAAATCGAATGTATTTCACCATTTCAAGTGCGTTGTTATTAAAGAAACAAGTGTTTCCTGATCATTTACAATTTAAAACAGGAGTCGTGTAGAACATACAACTTATATGTTCTTACTAAGCCTCACAATCAGTAGCAGTTTTATTTAGTCTCTAAAATTCCTCACATTCCAAAGCACATTACGCAAACCTATTTTTTTCTTCTATATCCAGTACATCATATTATTATTTTTGGTGTGAAATGATAATCAAGACATTTTATCACATACTCTATTACAAGTGATAAGAGCAACGACATAAAACAATGAAATTTTATACTCACTGAGATAAACAGGGCTCGTGTACTTATTTACCTTAGAATTTGAATTATTATTGCTTGCCAATTTAAACAATAATTGCTTAACGTTTAACAGATAATTGGACTAATTTACGTAGCTTTATCGGTTGTGGGATTAATGACAAGATGGTGCATGATTGAGTCGAAAGGCAGTCCACTGACTTATATGCTTTATTTGATTTATTTTAGAGGTATGTTAAACTGTATATCCTTAATAGCCTAATTATACTAATTGAATCAAATTTATAGTGTCAAGTTGCGAACCAGGTGTGGATTGGAGCCTTTTAAATATTAATGGCGCAGTGACTGTTCCCATACCAGATGAAACAGATGCTGTACGAGAAACATTTATATTTTTGATAGTTTATCTTGGACTGCATTCAGCATTAGTTTTCACAAGTCTATACGCATTATGCGGTGTAAATAATTCATGCTTGGGACGTCGCAGTTTTCCAATATTCTTCGCTCCTTGGATTATTGTTTGGGTGTCAATTATCGTACTTGACGTTATAGCAACTGGTTATTACATTATGGATTCTATAAAATTATCCGTAAGTATTTATAATGAGCTATAAATTTAATCTTTTTTATTATTTAATTCAATTTTTTGTTAAAAACTTTATTTTTTGTCCGATCTTTTTATGCTTTCAACGACTTTTATATTTTCATAAAAAATGATAAAAAATGTTTCGTCAAGTTTTCAAAAAACTTTTTGCCGTTAAAATTCAAATATTTTTAGACCATTAATATTGTGCAGACATTTTAATTAAATTTATTGTTTTATTACATTATTTGGGGGTTTTTTGTTTTCTAATTTTAGAGCACTGATGGAGTGTTGTCAATATTACAAGTTTCAAGTGGTGCAGATATTGATCAAATATTAAGACTTTTTGGAGAATTATCATCACTATATAAAATTATGCCACCAATTTTTATGCTCTTAGCCACGTCCAAGATATTCGTATTCATCATAATTAATATTGTATGGGTTGTTGCAATCACACGAGCTGGCTGGGCAGCATCAACTTATCACATGTATCATGATCAAACCAGAAGAAATTATGAGAATACAATGGCTAATGTAAATCCAGCATTTGAAGGCATGAGAGATGATGTTGTAGCACAAAAACAGCATGAAAAGCAAATGGATTATATAAGTGATCAGTCATCAATCCATGAAGTTCCATCAAGTTCTCCACGACCTTTAGCAACAGCACCACCACAAGAAAATACAGAATCACGTTATAATGATACATCAAGAGAACAAGGACATGTTTATCCTTATCATATGTCTAATACCAGAAACGAAAAGCAACGCAGAGAAGCACCACAGCCTCCAGATCCAACTATCGAGGACGAACCTCAAACATCATATAAAATAAAACGACCAACAACATTAGTTCTTCCTGAACGTCCTCCATCACAGCAACAACAGTATCAACATCAAAATAGCAATCAATATGAATCGGACAGAGAAATTGACAGTCGATTAAGTCGATATCAAGAAACTAGTGGACATGCAATTAAGACAGTCGAACCAATCAAATATGATGATATTCCTGAACAACAGCAATCAAATACAAGAGTTCTTGTTCTTCCACCAATATCAGAAAGTCGTCCACATAGTCTCAAGCCAATTCCACCTCCAAAGCCTCAAAATTATAATAATGTCAACAGTAATATTAATAATAATAGATTTTCTGTCCAGCCAATGCCAGCATCACGAGAATCGCCAGTTCTATATAGACCAGAACGATCAAATAGCGCACGAGTAGCTCCAGAAAGAACAAGCAGCAGTGCTAGAGCACCAGAAGAATTAAGAAGTCAACTTCCATGGAGTTATTTCAAGCCACGCGATGCTACACCAAAGAAAGCTTTCGATCATTTGGAAGAAAATGAAGACATTCCAGCCGTTCCCGTTCCTGACTATACACTTCACTATGGCAAAAAAGGAAGATCAAATTTAGGCGAAAACGAAAGCGATGGAAATTGGAGCCATTCCCGATATTAGAAGATGTCAAGTGTCTATAGAAACAGTTTTGATAAGATGTCAATTAATGTATGTTGTGCAATACTTAATATTATTATTTAACAAATTTTTTATCAGCTTCCTTATTTTTGCTTGCTAACTTCAAACTTCTTTTATGCGATACGAAAATACAAAATGTTATGAGAAATAAATGTTTTTTATCTCTTAAGATATTTTTTTAAGTTAATTGACCTTTTTTGGGGGTTTTACTGCTGCTGGAACTCTTAATATGTATCATATGAATTCAATTGTAATCTTCAGAATCGCACATGAAATTGTTGAAATTTTCATGATTCAACTCAAATGTCAAATTTCTGCGAAGCTTTTTTTTCGTTACAAAAAGATTCAAATTCAAAAAAAGCCGTTGAGCTTTTAAAAAGCTCTGAAAACCATTCAAATGTTTTAATTTTTCATGATTTGATTGATTCTCCAATTAATTATCTAGAACTATCAATATCCACCTGATCTGAGACTACAATATCATTAAACTATCGATCAGAAGTCACGAACTATGAAAATTAATTGAGTTTTCGACTAATGATTGATTAGAAAGAGATGAAAAACATTTTTATCGGCTTTTCCTTCAGTTAACTTATCAAAAAAAATTCAGTCAATTGTCTTGCGAGCCAATTGATAAGGAAGCATACCAATATTGCCAAAAAAAATAATAATGATTTTCAGTTGTGTACGGTACGTCCAAAAAACCAGAAGCCTCAAAAGTGATGGTTGTTAATTAAGTCAGTCATTACATGATATCTTGACAATAAAAGGTATTCTGACTGCTTCCAGTTAGACACTAAAGTGTGATTAATTGTAATTTAATTACAGAATAAGAATTTAAAAAATGGAGATTACAATGCCGTTTACATCGTACAAGCTGATGCGATTTTTCGCAATTTTCGGAGGATTAATTGGCGTTGTAAGTTTAAATTCCTGATAAATTAATAATGAATGATTTCATTGTGGAAATATTTACCGTGTTACTTACTTCTTTATCAGTCATTTTATACACACAATAAAAGAGTGGGTGGGATATTATTTTTATGACTGTTCTTGACTTCCGTGTGTGAACTTTGTCGGGAAATTTATGATCAAAATTTGGTGTAATTACCGTGAATCACCAATGTGTGTCAAATGGGGATTTAAAACGATGTGGAAAGGATTTAAAAGCGTCTGGTTTTTGCCCATAACATAATTTTGACTCAGTAAATTTCAAATTTTAAAAAAACCCGTTAAAATTTGAATGTCAAAAAAACCGTTACATGAAACGTGTTGTTTTTGTAGCTTGACATTATTTGTAAACCTCAACGTGTATAGCATGATATAAAGCTTTAAAAACATGAAAAATCACAACACTCGGAAGTGTAGCTTTCTATTTATATCTTGTTGCAGTAGCACAATATTGAAAAATCTTTGTTATTGCCAAAAAAAATTAACAGCAAACATCAAGTGTATTTTATGGCTTTATAGAGATAATATAGTGAGCTGATTTGTGTTAATACGATAATCTGAAATACAGCTATTATTAGGTATTTCACCACTTAGAGTAGCACGCAAATTAAGGATACGGAAAAGAGGGTTAAGGCTGGACTAGATTGCTAAACGATCCCTAAGAGACTTGACATAAATCTCAATACTGATCTAATCTCCTAAAACTTACTCATTATTAAATTTTCAATAGATTCAGTCACTAGCATGGTTAGGACTCAGTATAACAGCCGTTCTTGGATACTACTGCAATATTGACTTTGCAGGAACTGCAGCTAATTATGGCTCAATTTTACAACTTACACTGTATCACATGTACTTTCAAGGTGAGCAGCTTTATGATACTTTAATTGATTTATAGCCATAAAGTGCTTAAAACAAATGAAATTCTTTACTTAAAAATTTTATAGGCGACTGCGTCCCGAATCAATTCCCAGTAATAGAGTTTGAGGCAATTCAAGGACTAGATTTGATGACACCAATGACAGTGAATATTTGGATGTGGGTAGTTCTTTCATTTAGTGCTGTATGGCTGTTTAGTTCGCTTACATTGATAATCAGTAAGTCTCGCGAGATATCAGAAATTCTTTAGGATTCCTTTATCGTTATCTTCTCGTTCATTTTAGATGTGAAAAAATCAAATCTGAAGTACGCGAACGTTTTCCTTTATATTTGGGTCTTAATCACATTCGTTATCTCAATGATTGATTTAGTACTGTTTATATTCTTTGTGCTTGATTATGAGACCCTCTTGAGTCATAGCTTCTCACAAAGTTTGAATTTTGCACCTGTTACGTCATCAGTTCTTCTTAGTGCCCAAGTATCAGCTGGAATTATGTTCTCGGTTGCACTTCGTGGATATCTTTTGTGGGCAATCAATTTAGGCGTCTGCTTGTTCCTGTTTACACAAACATTCAAGATTTATGACTATAATAAGCTTGCAGCATCGGGAGTCACTAGCAATGCATATATGAACAACGCTTACAAGAATGACGAAAGTCCACAAGGAGCAATCAGTAACACACCGATTAGAGGATATGAGACACAGTTGAGTGATCTTAATCCTTAAAAGTTTGACTTATTGACCAACTTTATTGACAATTTCAGAACTAGTCATCCTTGGTACAACTACTTGACAGCAGATATTCCACGCGCACGACCATCAACCATGATGAGATCATCATCAGTTCCAGGACTCGAAGAAAGCTTTCAGAAAAGAATGAATACAGCAGATGCCAAAGTAACGACACCTACAGATGTAGTCATAAGAAATAACAATATCAATTCAGTTCCAAATCGCAACAGTAATGCTAATAATCTTGGATACATCCAAACTCCAGCACCAGCATTTGAAGCCAAACCACAACTTCGAAGTGGAATTTTAAGGAATTCAAGATATCAGTAAATTATGCATATAGAGTCTAAATACCTTTTCGGTTATTTTTATTTGATACAAAGTTTAATTTGATAATAAAAAAATAACAATTTTTTAAAACGTTCTAAAAATATTAAAGACGTAATTAAATTACTATCGCAAACTGTCTCGAGCTACAATCTTATTTCTCATCCCCTGCGAAGAGAATACAACAAATCGTCAAGGCAGGCGGTGACTGATAAGACGCTTATTATGTCTCAATTTTATTCATATTCACATGCGGAAGTTGTTGAAATTTATAGAAGCTTCTAGTGCTGGAAAGCAGTAGAAATTTATAACGGTTTAATTTTGAATTTTGAAAACATTTTTATGGTTTTAACGGAAACTTCTAAAACCTTATAAAAGTTATTCGGTGCATTTGTATGGCTTTGAACAATATTTGACGAATTCGAAAACATTTGTATGTTTTTTAAACAATTGTATGGTTTTAAAATTTCAAAAATAACATTTTATAAAGTTTTGCATATCAATTTCATCTTAAAAATTGCAAAGTCATCCTCAGTTATCACCACGAGCTATTTTTAACCAGCATGTGAATCTTTCAAGCCCCCATCAGTCTACCATAAAATTTTAAATGTTTTATTAACTTTGAGCGAATGACGATCGAGTGTATTGAGAGTTGTTTGATAACCTACTAACCCAATCAATATTATAGTAAGAGCCAAAACAAGTGAAACGCAATTTTAGACAGCACGGAACTTGATAAAAATTTAATTTTCAAATTCCAGGTGTTTTTCACTGGTCAAATTAAATTTGAATTTTTCTTTTTTTTTTGCGAACGAAAACATTCCCCTAATCCAGCGCTGTTTTTCCCCTCGTAGTACGAAATTCTTCGCTCTCAGAAAATAAGCATTTGTAGCTTAATTAAACAGCTTCATTCTTATTTTGTCTGTTAATCAGTGAGCTTTAAAAGCTGTTTGTGCTGTAGAATATTAAAAAGTGTAAATCAAATCATGGTTCTATGTCAAATCATTGTAAGAAGTGCATTCAGAAGTTTGCAGACATCAATTAAGCCACAACTAAAGATTCAAGCACGATATTTAAGCATATCACTTTCGAATTGCTCAGGTAAGAAGCATAAATATTTTTGATGAAGATCCGTAAATATTTTATTGACATGAAGCTTAAATCATTTTGATAACCTTTTGTCAATGACTTATATAAGGCTATAAGGCAGACATTAAGCTAGTCTATATATATATACATTCTATGTACTTCCAGAGCGAAAATATACGAAGAAGCATGAATGGGTGCAAATAGAAGAGAATAATATAGGAACAGTCGGAATCTCAACGTATGCACAGGAAGCACTTGGTGATATCGTCTATGCACAATTGCCTGATGTTGGAAGTAGTTTTCGTCAAAAGGATGAATGTGGAGCACTTGAAAGTGTTAAAGCAGCCAGTGAGATTTATTCACCAGTTAGTGGTGATGTGACCGAAAAGAATTTGGAAGTTGAGGAGACACCGAGTCTTATAAATACATCATGTTACGATAAAGGCTGGCTATTCAAGATCAAATTGGCTAAACCTAGTGAATTGGATGAGCTGCTAGACGAGAAGCAATATGACGAATTTCTAAAGAGTGATGCTCACTAGAATTAAACCTAATTAGTGATTTGTGTGTGTGTGCTGCATTTTAAGAGTACCTACTTTACAAGATTATATCCTATTTGAATCTAATTCATCAATTAAAAGAATCATGGAACCTTTTTTGCAATATTTGCATTTAAATACCCCAAAAAAATTTATTCAATAAAATTATTAATATAATTAAATTGTCTGATTTAATCTTTATTCTTTTTCTTATCAACAGTCGTACAGATTGTCAATGTAACAGCCTGTCGAAAACATTCGATAAGATCTGATGTCACACGATCTGTTATTTGTCTCAATTTTCCGTCTAATGCTCCGCAAACTAGCTTCTCGTGACGCTCATTCGGACAGATTATGTTGACTGATGCAAAGATTTTATTATGATCATTTGAAAAATACTCTAATTCACAAATCAGATTGTATGGAATCTCTTGTGGCAAATAATCCAATAATCTCGATCGTACAAATTGTTCAATAAGCTTTTCTGGCTCTTGATCTGTAAACTCGTTGTTTTTAAATTCCCAAGGTTTTGGCATTGATATTGAGCTGAAATAATCTACAATTCTATCAACTCCATCGCCTTTTAATGACGACACAAGGAATACATCCTTAAATAATGGCCATCCAACTTGATCTTTATGGATCTTACTCTGATCATCGTTGATGCTTGTTTTCTTGACAAATTTCATAAATTGTGGATCTAGTGATATGTTACTGCATGTTAAGGAACGAATCACTTCCAGTAATACTCTTTTGCTACGTACACGATCTATTTTATTAAGCACTAATAGACTCGGAACTGTATGATATTCACTAAGTAGTTCCAGTATTAATGGATGTAAGGCATTTCGGGTCCAACGATTTGAAATGTCGTGTAAAACTGCTATTATGTCTGACTGCTGTATTGAATGACGACATGCTGATATAAATTCCTTGTCTAAATTGTGCTTCTTTCGTTCCTTTTCACTTACAATTCCTGGTGTGTCGTAAATTATGATTTGAGAATGGAATTTATTAATAATAGACTGTGAATGTGATTGCGTTGTGTGCACTTTCTGTGATACTGGACATACCTACAAGAATCATTTAATTATAAAGCTTTATTATTGATTATTTAATGATTTTTACCTTTTTGTCCAAAATTGTATTGATTAATGTACTTTTTCCAGCATTTGGCAATCCAATGACTGCAACTTTAAGCACTTTATCATGAGTATTCTCATGCAACTTGTTTGGTGTGTGCGATGAGTAAAATCGTGGCTTAAAAACTAGTAAAATATTAGATTTTTTTAAAATATTCAACATGTTTACAAAATTTTAGGGTTATCAACTTACCGGCAGTATATTTTCGAATTTGAAAACCCTATGAAAAGAGCGCGACAATTAATTTCAAAAATATTCTCGAATCTTTATCACAGCAAACTTAATGCTAGTGCAATGAGTAAAAGTAAAAGAAGTGATTTGAAGAATAAAGCACTAGATTTGATTGTAAAATAAGTCTTAAAAAATAATAACAGTTAAAACAAATTCAAAAGAAGAATTCATTGTCAATTCTGTATTTTTCTCGTGGATTATTTTAGAACATTTAAAATATAAACAACCGTTAAAAATTTAACATTTCAATTTTAACTTTTGAAATCGTTAAATTTTAAAAAAGGACACTTTAATCTCGATATAACGACATAAACAAAGTATAGTAAAATACAGATACAGGTTGAAGAACAGTGAATTACGAATTTCGAACAGAATCGGTGTGCAAAAAAATAATTCATTCATAAATAGTGCAACAAGCTAAGTGAGCGGTCTAGAAGCGTAAAATATATGAAGAAGGAACTTACAAGTTCCTTATTCCTTTACAAAATATTGGAGTTACGTGGGAAAATCGAGTAAAATTGTGAAATTAAAGAAAATACAAAAATATAAAGTTTTAAGTCAAAATTTCGCAATTTAAAATGACTAAATTGCAAATTGAGATTGGCGAGGAGACAGACTATCCTGGAAGTAAAATATTTGCAGCATTAGCAGATTCTATTGGACTGTCCGTTGACTTGGTAAATTAAATTAAATTTATTCATGTTATTTTTTATCCAAAATAAAGCAAGTTAATGACTTTCGGGAATACGTGCGACGACACCCACTTGACGCTTACAAATTTGGCATATATTTAATTGTAAATCTCCGTTCCACACGCGTGAATTGAATTAATTCAGAGCAAATGTGCTTAAATAAAAACAGATTTTGTGCACTTTATGGATATTTAAATGCGACGCAAATCTGGTTTTGTGCTGTTTATAGCAGTTTAGAGATGCTTGTTGCGTTGGATAAACATCCGAGACTATAAAAACAAGTGTTTTGATAAGACATTCTTCTTATATAAGTCACCGGAACGGGCATTATTTAATAACAAAGCATGAATCAATAGAAATTTCTCCAAAAATACATCAATTTTCTAATGTTGTGCCTTATTACAAGCAGTCATGGTAGAAATGCATTTATTTTAAAACTATCAAGCTACTTACGGAACCGCTTTATTAAAATATTTTTAAGGAACAACAATTGCGTTGATATTAAAAAGTGACGAGAATTAAGTCACGCTTACCCAGTGTGACATAAGTCAGTCGATTGCGATTGGCATATCATCGTAATTAAAAAAAGTCTTTTTTTAGAATCTATAAAAGAGTATCGACAGACTTAATCATTTAGACCTAAAACGGAACTCAGAACGTGCCTGCATTTAGTTCAAAATTGTAATGGCTTTACAAACAATGTATTATTTTCAAAAAATATATAATTGACAGCTCTGTAAGCTCACGAATAAAGCTTTTATTGCTATGATACCCAAAAACTCATTCGCGGACGAAATAAACACAAAATAAAATAAAAGTGAAGGGAGAAATTCTTTTTAAATATTAATAACAGTAGATTCAAGGTCAAATTATCGCCTGACAAGTGATTTATGGAATGTTTTCAGGATTTATGAGGATTTCAAATTAGACTCAATTTAAAAGCTCCTTTTGAAAGCCTAATATAAATTTTATTCAACTTGATTGGCTTTTTTATGTGATGATGATATCATAATGAAATGACAGAGTATGTGAATTTGTGGCTTAGAGACAAAAACTTAACGAAAATTTAACGATTTTCAAAAATTTAAAAACTTGACGAAATTCAACGGGTTTTCAATTTTCAATAATTTACGGGTTTTAAAAGTTTGTAAAACATTTTTCATAATCTTAACAAGAATATTTTTAAAGTTTAACGGATTTTAAACATTTTCTTTTTCGTCAATTCCAAGCTCTTTTTTGACAACATGTTAAATTAGCATAAAACAACGGTTCCTCAATCCAGTTAATTATTCACATGTATGCCTTACACAGATGTTTTTTTTTCCACTCGTTTATTCACAATGTTCACCTCTGATACATTTTTATTGATGATTGTGTACAGAAGACAGTGAGTGGGAAACAGCTGATCATCATCCGATAGTCACAAAGTACACAAAGAATTCAAAAATAAATTTTTTATTTTAAATTTCTACACGAAATTGCAAAGTTTAAGGTCAATAAAAAAATTATCACATTCCTGCAGCGCTAATTTTATCACGTCTAAAATACTTATTTTGATGATTCTTTATCACTGTCAAGTGATAAGTAAGCAAGAGGTTAATAAAACGTAAGTGGCGCGCGATTACATAGGCCGCAAATTATTAGACATCTGTGAACTGATTATGAAATACGTTCGAAAGTTTTTGCAAAACAAGCATAGTGGATGTCCCTGAAAACAGCCGATCGAGTCAATAAACGGTTCGCTAATTATTGCGAAAATAAATGCATAAAGCAACGTGATCGCTCTTAAAAATGTTTATATTTAAAATTATTATAGCATCATAATAAGAAACATTTGTTTATCTACAGCTGTGGGATATCCTCGAATTACTTGTTGGGCTTCTCGCATGTTGTTCATTTTGCCGGTGAAACGTGGTCGTTGATCTTTTCATACTTTTTCAACGTATTTTTTAATTTTATGTTTTATGCTGTTTTTCAAATATTTTTTAACCGCTATTTTTTAAATATATTTTAATCCTTATTTTTCAAATATTTTTTTATCTTTTTCTTATCTTCGCATTTTTCAGACCAACTTCTTGATAATTCAAACGTCAGCATTACTCCTAGCATCTTTATTTCGTTCATACTTGCATACATCAAAAGTATCAGTCAGCGTTCGACATGCTTTTGGATTACTCGTTGGACTTTTCTTTGGATATTTTTGTTTTGGACAGCAAGCAGTTCACATTGCTGGTTTACCAGCTATTTGCTATGTCGTTATCAGAACTCAAAATCCAGAATTTGTTCAAAGGTAAACTCACGATTAACTATTAAGTCACGTTTCATTTTCTATCATGTTCCTACTTATTTTGTCAGAATTGTAATGGTTGTTGCTCTCACATACTTGTCATGCATTCATTTGCACCGCCAATATAACAGCAATGGAGCCTATACTTTGGATATTACAGGACCTTTGATGATCATCACTCAGAAAGTTACTAGCTTGGCTTTCAGCATTCATGATGGATTTGTTGCAACTGAGAATAAGAAGGTAAGTTTGTTGGATGTTACTGGATCTTTAAAAAGTTTCTTTTGTTACACAAAAATTACGCAATGATAAAAATTCAAATCTTTTCTAGGAACTTTCAAAGAATCAACAATATCATATGATCGACAAAATCCCATCACCATTGGAATACTTTTCCTATGTCCTTAACTTCCAAAGTCTCATGGCTGGTCCTCTAGTCTTTTATCGTGACTATATTGACTTTGTTGAAGGATGCAATTTTAAATCGCACACAAATGTAAGAAACAAATAACTTAACTTTAAGCTTTGACAAAATTATTAAAGCATGATTAATGACATTTCAGAGCAAATTGGATGGAGCAAATAAGAAAATCGTCACAGAACCATCTCCGGTGAAAACTGTATTGAAAAAAGTCCTAGCTAGTGTTGTTTGTGCTTACATCTTTATCAAGCTGATTAACGTTTATCCGATTAAATCTGTTAAGGGTAAGTGAGTCAATTTTTTGCCATACCTCAATGACTAATAGACATTAAACATAATAGAAGACGCATTCATCGATGACACAACAATTATTTATAAGTTTTGGTATCTAATGATGATGACAATGGCCGTACGCTTTAAGTATTATTTTGCATGGATGCTCGCGGACGCAATTGTCAATAACGCAGGAATGGGATTTAATGGATTCGAAAGTGATGGCACTGCTAAATGGGATGGATTGACAAATATTTATGTGATACCTTTTGAAGTAAGTAAAATTTTGTGTATATAAAAATTTTGGCAAAAAAAGGTCCTTTGCAGGACACTTTGCAGGTTCTGCCGAGATTTGAACTCGGATCGCTGGATTCAAAGTCCAGAGTGCTAACCATTACACCACAAAACCAACTCTTGATTTTTATGCTGATCGTCTTAAACTCACTCTCTATTTTCACGTGTACCGAACTTAAATGTAGATGCGAAGTGATTATTTTTAAACATTTTTCCTTTTCTTTCTCTTTCTCTTTCTCTTTGTAGCTTGGAACAAATATTCGTGATTGTATTAATAGCTGGAATATCGGTACAAATTCTTGGCTTCGAATGGTTGTTTATGAGCGAGCACCGAAGCAGTATGGAACAATTTTGACATTTTCATTATCAGCATTATGGCATGGATTTTATCCTGGATATTATTTGACTTTTGCTACTGGTGCTTTAACTGTAACTGCTGCTAGAAAAGTATGCTCAAAATTTTATTTTATTGTATTGATTTTAATTAATTTTCTTTTGTGCTTTTTAGGCTCGTCGAGTTTTCCGTCACCATTTCCAGCAAACCGAATTCTCACGTACAGTTTATGACGTTATTACATGTTTGGTGACTCGTCTATTCATGGGATACATCACATTCCCATTTGTTTTACTTGAGCTTGGAGTAAGTTAATTTTCAACGAACATTGTATTTTTGAATATTGAAACATTTCGTTCAGTAGTTCTGTTCAGTTCATTTCATCACAGTTCAAATTTTTTTTAAAATTTTTCTAGACCGTTAAATTTGAAATTTCAAAAACTCGTTAGTAATATTTCATAATTTAATTGCAGGCCAGTTTCCGATTGTACCTGAGACTTTTCATGTGCCTTCATTTAGTTGCTCTATCTTCGATATTTCTTCTTCCGAAATTAATGCGTGGTGAAAGTCACGCGAGAAAACATTCGGCATCTCCATTAACCAAAACGAATAACCATAGTATGTCCTCGATGACTGACGAGATGAACAAGAAAAACGATGACAAGGAAGATAAGGATAATGGAATAGCAGTAGCGTCAACAAAGAGCAACTCAAATCACGAGTCAGAGGAATCAAGTAGTTCATACAGTAGCTTTAATAATAGTATGAATGATATAAGTGATAAGATTCATGTTCGTAAAACGGAATCAAATTACTTACTAAAGGATCTCATAAATAAGGAAGTTAACAAAATCAAGGACGAAACAGATAATTTATCAAATTTATTGAAAGAGAAAATCGAGGCAGCAAATATCGAAGGATTTATTGACAAAACTGTCAACGGTATTGTTGAATTAAAAGATGATTTAATGCGTATGAATGAGCCCGAGGTTTATGGACCAACTACAGAAAGTTTAAGGAAGCGAAATATCTCAAATGTTGATTTAGAATCAACAACAGTAACAAAAGGATCAACAGGTGAGGGTAATCAAAGTGGCGCATTTTTGAAGAAGGAAATTGATGCGATAAAGAAGGAATCAACAGTTATTCCAGCTGTCCTCAGTAATGGACATGCTAAATAATCGCCAAAAATTGCTCTATTCGTTAAAACTTTTTTAATTGCACAAAATGTGATGAAATTAAATCAGAATAGATCAGGAACAAAATACCTATATAAAAAAAAATCTATAGAATTACGATTTTATTATCACAAAAAGAAACAAAACTAAAATAATATTCAAATCAAATCAAATTCCTTATAAATCGGATGCAGTAAGCACCACGGTTTTTAGTATTGAAATATTTTCAAAAAAATATAAAAAGAACGAAAAAAAAGATACTATAAAGTTCCATTTAAGGATAAAGTATGAAGAAACAACTAGGATAGACGCAGTCACACACATACTCGTGATTGACGGAAGCTCATTTTCTCGCATTGAGTCAGTTAATGAACTGACTGTGTAATGATTGAACTTCACAAAGTTCAAACTGAGAAAGTGCGAGAAAGTGTGCTGCTATTAATTAAATTATGATACTTATTAATGCTATCATAAACTAGATATTCTGAACAAATCACAAGAATTCTTTAATTGGCTTCACTTTCGTAAGCATTATATATTTATGACGTAGGTCAAATCCTTCTTAGATGCCATTCTTCAGTGCTTCCAATTATTTTTTGACAACCGAAGATATTTTAGTGATTCCAAAAAGCACAAATTTTTAAGTTTCAACCTGCTTCAAAATAGCTTCCAGATATTGACTAAGAGTTCCAAATTGATTGTTAATTTATTTTAAAAACCGTCTTGGTATTTGATTTTTATATTAAGCTAGTTTGTTTTCAAAAAAAAAAAAGCCATTCGGGAACTAAGAGGCATAAGGCATAGCCAAAGCTTGCTAAACACTTAGATGATTAATGAACACCAAAATGATAAGAAAAATCACAATTGAATCTTAACTTGCTTTATTAACCTAGTTAATGCTTGATTAATGTCACAAATTTTTTAACTTTTAGATTGTAATCCAGTGCGTAACTGCTTAACATTTGTATTTTTCGCATTAAAATGTTTTGTTTAATTTATTTTTGAAATTATTGATTGATTTTTTTGTTCTGATTGATTGATGCTTAAAGAATTGACTTCTGAGAGCTGTTGATGCTGAAAATCAAAGAGTTGCATGATTAATTCGTGGATTTATTTTGACTATTCCTTTTTAATCCTAAGATTTACTTAATCCGTACTTTTTTTTGATCTGAAAATTTATCTTAATCTTTAATTTATATTTCACAAATTATTTGATCTAAATTGAAAGCAGGAGGTTTGATAACTGTTCTGGATAAGTCCCAAATTTCTCATATTAATTGATTTTTGCATAAAATTTAACGGACTTTTAAAGCTTAAATTTGAACGAACTTTTTAAGTTTGAATATAAACGGTTTTTCCGAATTCGAATTTTAGAACCTTATAAATGTTTTCATTTGCATATTTTTTGAATTTTTAAAATACGTTGAAAATGTTTCAAGATATTTTCTAGCATTCCAAGTTCTCAGAAGCCACAAGCTTTTAATGTCTAGATGCGTTCAAATGAAAATGCTTGTTTTACAAATGATATAAAAGAATCTATAAAGAGAAAAATATATTTAAAAGAAATGAAAAAATCAAAATCATCTCAATATCTCATGAAAAAGAAGAAGTAAAGTAAAGTAATTATTTTTATAACTGACAAATGGTTCAAGAACCTGAAGAGAAACTTTCCACATACACAAAAACTACAGAAATATATTTATTGATGAACTTTTTTTTTGAAACGTGATAGAGCTTATTTTTTACTTAATATAAAGGACATAACAGCTGTTTGTGACTAAACAATTGTTGATCATCACACAAATACATTTTTTTTTTGAATTTCCTTTAATATCCCAAAACTCAACTGATTTACAAGTTGTTCAAAATATATAAAATGAGAGAATATAAATGACTTATGGATGATTGTAAATAGATAATTATTGGACCATTGGATTGGCAAGAATGGAAATGTCTACCAATTTTTTCAAAAAAAAACATATCCAGCATGTAGGAAGAGAATATTTTGTAAAAATATAATGGATATGCCTGTAAAATTTTCTTTTTATTAATTATGATTAATCCAAGTAAAATTGTAAAGCCAAAAGATTGAAAAGCATTAAAGTTTTATTAATGATGACAAAAATTTATTTAAATCTTGGATTCTTTTAATTTTTATAACTTTAATATTCCAGTTGCTTCATAGAAGCCGTTTGAGGCTTTTGAGTACCGTTGACTAAGATGGATTTCCTTGATTTTTATTTCACCTAAATTAAAATCTTTATATTTTTTAAGGATTTTTGAGGCATCAAACTTGATTCTATTTCCTTGATCTTTATCTCTACTGTCACGTGGCTGATTCTCATCCTTAACAATTGCATCATCATTGTCACGAAATAGAGAATTAATTAATGTCACATGAAGCTTCACTTGATCACCTTTAAGCTGCATAAATCCTCTCGATGAAAAATATTCAGCGATTCCGTTAGTAATTTCTTGTAGATTCTCCGACACAACTTTTGCGTAAAGAACATCTACAGCTGATGGATCATCATTCATATAATCTAGTCCAACCATTTTTGCATTCAATTCACTTCCTTGTAATACTTGGTCTATGATAAATTCCTTACAGTCTTGCAGCATTTCAGCTGTTCTCGAACGGTCTTCATTGTCAAGCAACGATAGAGTTCCAATTGTCAAATGCAGCTTTTGAGGTTTTTGGAAAAGTGAATCGTCGATTCCATTAATTTCTGGATCATTGAGAATCTGACTTTTGAACTTATTGAAATTCTCTTGGATCTGACTGGATGTAAATGCAATGGAAAGGAAATGAGTAAAGTTCTGTTTAGCACGTCCAGAAACAACAATTAGATCTAGTCTGTTCCTCATTGATATTATATCCTTTCTAGATTTTCCAATAATCAATACATTACTATCTCTCGATCCCATTTTTGGAACTGTCAATTGAGTTGATGTTTCTGGAAGTTAATGACATTTTAATAAGATCCAGAATAAAATTAATTAAAGCTTAATTTACACACCTTGCTCCAATCTCTTCTTTGTAGCACCTTTAGTTCCAATAATCTGTGAATAAAACAGCGAGGGAATGTGCATCTTCAATTGAAACTTGGTTCCATTATCGATTGGCTCGATTTCATCGTATAAATCCTCAGCATCCAGCTCACAATTGAATTCCTCCTCTTCATAATTGATATTAACTCTTTCCGGCTCATTCCTTCTATCATTTGGAATATTTACACGATAACAACGTGATCCTATCCACATTAATTCCGGTGAAAGAACTGAATTCATGACTGATTAATTTTTGTAAACAAAATGTTCGAAGGGTCGACCACGTGTCAATTTTGAAATTTTTGAAAAATAACGGTTTTTTGTGAAAGGACGAAAATGAGAGAAAGTCAACACGTGGAGTGGATAAAACTATGTTGCACAATGATTTGGAGCTTTACACATTGTGCAATGCTGACTTCTATCTGCAAATGAGATTTCGAATCGTTGACTAAAGTTCGATTTAACCATGTTTTAAGTCTCACAAAATTCAACTACACCCCCCCCCCCCCCCTCCTTCCCCATTATAACATCATAATTAAGATTTTTTATCCGTAATATTCATTTTATTGGTTTTGAAAAAAAAACGATAATTAAAGGAAATATTAATTAGCAGGAACACATCAAGGATGCAGGATGCACTTTTAGTTTACAAACAATCATATTGAGTAACATGTTACTTTACAGTACAGTTTACATTTTCCGAAACATTTCAAAACATCACGAAATACAACCGACAGCCAAACATTTGTGTGCGTGACCTTGATTATTACCGAAATAAATGCTCAAACTTTCCAATCTTCTCTCAGTTGTAACTTTGTTTTTATTCGGTAAAGACGTCAGGAGATCCAAATATCTTCAAAATGTCGGTTTTAAGAACTTGTAATATTAAAAGTATTGTTCCTGTGTTATACAATAGATGTTATAATGCTCAACAATCAATAGCTGAAGTAGAATGGAATAAAGCAAAGGCTTATAAAGAAATTCCGGGACCTAGAAACTCATTTCAACTTATGAAACTAATGGGAATGCCTAGTTCAAAGTACTATAATAAGCCTCTGAATGAAATGCTTCAAATGTTTAGGAAAGACTACGGAAATATTTGTTACTTTCCTGGATTTATGGGAGCGAAGCCACTTGTGATGACTTACTTACCAGACGATGCAGAGAAAATATTTAGGAATGAAGGTCGATATCCAAACAGACGAAATCTTGAGTCATTCGCATATTACAGGAAAGAGCATCGACCTGATTTATTTAAAACAAGCGCTGGACTAGCCGTTGAGTAAGACCTGAAGATTATCATGAAATTGATAAGAATTTATCGATATCTTAAACTACTTTTTAAGGCAAGACCATCCATGGCACGAGTTTCGCACAAAAGTTAATCAAATTATGATGCAGCCTAGAAATGTCAAGATGTACATTCCCGTTATTGACGATGTTGCATCGGATTTTATTAAAAAGTATAAAAGCGATCTTGCTCCAATGTTTCATCTAATGACTTATATTTGATATTTAGGATCCGTTCCATTAGAAATGACAACTTGTTAGTTCCAGACAACTTCCTTGAAAACATGAATGAATGGGCACTCGAAAGTATAGCACTGATAGCACTTGACACAAGACTGAACCTTTTTACTGGACAAAATCCAGAGTCAAAGCAGTTGTATGAGGTAAATCATTGCTGTTTAAAATATCACAGACCCTGGTGACGTTTTAAGATGTTATGCTGCATTGACGACCACAATTTTTTCCTGATTAAATTCAATACATAATAAAACACTTAATCGCTCACTATTTTCCAGCTTGTCAAAGAAGCTTTCGCAATATCTTTTGAATTTGACATAAAACCATCCATTTGGCGATACTACAAGACTCCTGCATTCAAAAAAGCTATGAAAAGTATCGACAAAATAAATGAAATTATTTTCGGTCATGTTGGAAAAGCTCTAGATAAGTACGAGAAGAACCCATCAACAACTGAACATCAAAGTATTTTAGAGAAGCTTTTAAAGATTGACAGAAATGTGGCAGAAGTTATGGCTGTTGATATGTTGGGTGCTGGAATTGATACTGTAAGTTTGTTGGAAGCTAGAATAAATTCATAGCTGAATAATTTAAATATTTAGACATCATCAAGTGCCGCAGCTGCTTTATATTGCCTGGCCACAAATCCTGATAAGCAGGAAATTCTCCGAGATGAAATTAAGAAGGTTCTACCCTCAAAAGATGTAAGAATGAATGAAAAGTCTTTGGATAGTATTCCATACATGCGTGCTGTGGTCAAAGAAGCTCTTCGAATGTTTCCAATCTTCAACGGCAATGCAAGAGCTTTAGATCATGAAATTGTACTTCAGGGCTATCAAATCCCTAAAGGAGTATGTTGAAGTTACTATTCTGTTCTTGCTAAGCATGAATAACATTTGATTCTATTGTAGGTCGATATAATGATGGTTCACACATCAAACACAGACTTTGAGGAAGCCAACAAGTTCATTCCAGAACGATGGTTAAAGAATACAACCGGAAAATGTCCTCATGCTAAAGACGTCAATCCATTTGCACATTTACCTTTTGGAAACGGACCACGTAAGTTGCAATAATTACAATTATGATCTTTGTACTAATAGCTTGAATCAACAGGTATGTGCATTGGACGTAGAATGGCTGAAATGGAAATTGAAATTTTATTGACCAGACTTCTTAGTGAGTTTAAATTAGAATGGCAAGGAGGAGATATCAAATGGAGCAGTACAACAATCAATATTCCGTCATCTCCAATGCGGTTTAAGATGATTGATTTATGATAAAGTTATAATAAGACTTGCATTATGATTTAAATAAAAACAAATGTTGTTAAGCTTTCCCTTAAAATCAAAGCTTAAGATCTTTTTTGTAAACATCTAATTCCATGACCTTACGAAGCTGTATAAAGCTCTGAAAAATCTTCTTAATTTTATTAAAGCTAAGAAAGAAAAGCTGTAAGAACGATCATGTTATACAGTCGTTTAGTCAAAAAGAAGAACTGTGGACGTGATTATGATTATATCCATAAACTTCTTAATTTTCAATCTCTCAGTCTTGTCTTAGATTCTTAGTTATTAAGACATTCGTTTTCAAAATGTTGATTTTATCATCGAGGAAGAGTTTAATAAGTTTTGTTCCTGTTCTGTCCAGTCGATTCTGCTCTGCTCAAGCATCACTAGCCGAACAAAAGCTGTTAAGTGCAAAACCATTTGAAGTTATTCCTGGGCCAAGAAATTCATTTCAGTTTTTAAAGCTTATGGCACATCCAAAGTCAAAATATTACAACCAGCCACTAATTAAAATGATTTGCATGATTCGTGAAGATTTCGGAGATTTAGTTTACTTTCCTGGATTGTTGGGTGCGAAGCCAATGGTGATGACATTCTCGCCTGAGGATGCAGAAAAGGTTTCTAGATATGAAGGACGTTATCCATACCGAAGAGATTTAGAGACATTTAAATACTATAGGAAACAGCATCGACCAGAACTTTTCAAACCAAGTGCCGGACTTGTTGTTGAGTAATTATCGAAGATCATTTCCAGGTTGTAAGATATAACTTAACTCCCGTATTATTCTTACTAGACATGGTCTTGCTTGGCATGAGTTTCGTTCGAAAGTTAACCAGGTAATGTTGCATCCAAGGAATGTTAAGATGTACACACCAATACTCGATAATGTTGCATGTGAATTTGTAGAAAAGTAAGAATAAGCACGTTTTGTGTTTATAAATAAATCTTGACTTTTGATTCTTGTTTATGAATTAAGGATTAGAGCTATTAGGAATGAAAGCATGACAATGCCTGATAACTTTTTAGAGAATTTAAACGAGTGGGCTCTTGAGAGTATAGCTCTAATTGCACTTGACACTAGACTGAATCTTTTTGAAGGAGCAAATCAGGAATCAAAGCAGCTCTATGAAGTAAGTCTTTTAAGTTCACAACTTTTGGGTATGGAACGGTTCTATCGCTACCTGGAACTTTATACTTCTATGCAGATTTGTTTATTTGGACTTGATTCTTAAATAAATCCCAATATATCTCTTCCTCATTCTCAGCTCATTAAAGAAATGTTTGCAATTGGATTTGAATTTGATATAAAGCCATCCATTTGGAGATACTGCAAGACTCCAGGATTTAATAAAGCATTAAAAACGTTTGACAAATTAACTCAAATTGTTTTTGGTCATGTCGGGCAAGCTGTTGAAAGGTACGAGAAGAGCCCATCAGCTTCAGAGCATCAAAGTATTTTAGAGAAGCTATTGAAAATTGATAGGAATGTGGCAGAAGTTATGGCAACTGATATGTTAATTGCTGGAATTGATACTGTAAGTTCTTTGAACTTTAAAGCATACGAATATTTTATGGTTTGTAACTTTTAGACATCATCAACTGCCGCAGCTGCTTTGTATTGCTTAGCTACAAATCCTGATAAGCAGGAAATTCTTCGAAAGGAAGTTAAGAAGGTTCTACCTTCAAATTATGCACAATTAACTGAAAAGTCTTTAGCTAGTGTTCCATATATGCGAGCTGTAATCAAGGAAGCTCTAAGGATGTTTCCAATTTTTAATGGAATCGCCAGAGCTTTAGATAAAGACATTGTTTTGCAAGGATATCGAATCAAAAAGGGAGTAAGTTACAAATTACCAAATAATTATTTTGAATATCAAAAGTGAATGAACTCTTTTCTAAATAGGTTGACATTATGATGGTTCCCACAGCATATTCGGATTTTGAGCATACAAACAAGTTCATCCCAGAACGATGGTTGAAGAGAAAAACCCAAAAAACTTGTCAAGGAAAAGACGTCAATCCATTCGCACACTTACCTTTTGGATACGGACCACGTAAATTCCAAAATTTTAATTTCTTATTCTAAGAACTAAAAGCTATAATCAACAGGCATGTGCATCGGTAAAAGAATGGCTGAAATGGAGATTGAAATTTTATTGACTCGACTGCTGAGTGAATTCAAACTAGAATGGCAAGAAGGAGACATCAAATGGAGTAGCACAACAATCAATGTGCCTTCATCTCCATTGAGGTTTAAAGTATTAGATCTATAGACTATTAATTTAAGCGACAATTTGTATTTTAATAATTATGACTAAATGTATTAATGAAGGCACGATAACTGATAAAAAAACAGCGCTTAAAATGCATCTACTTATTTGAGGGAGTGAGTTCGTAAGCTATACACATCATATCTAGTGCCTCAAAAAAATAATAAAAGATAAATTCATTTGTGACAATATCAGTTTTATTTGTTTTAAACATTTATTATGTTCGTGTATCAAGGTGCTGTACAGCATTTAAAAATTATGCTGAATCGTGTTTTCAATTACTGTCTAGAAATAGATTGTGTTTTAGCAACGGCAATTTCAACAGATTGATTGACTGAGTTGGTCGATTGGTAGGTTTTGTGGTGTAATGGTTAGCACTCTGGACTTTGAATCCAGCGATCCGAGTTCAAATCTCGGCAGAACCTTAATTCCTTTTTTACACAAATTTTCTTTTTTTCAAATATTTTCCGATTTTTAAAGTATTTTTTAATTAAATCTGATTACATAAGTAATTTGAGAGGTTTTGTGGTGTAACGGTTAGCACTCTGGACTTTGAATCCAGCGATCCGAGTTCAAATCTCGGCAGAACCTGCAATATAAATTTTTTTAATGAAATTTTTCATTTTGTTTAAGTAAAATGATTTATTAATAAGCATATGATTAATTACGATAGGCTTAAAAGAGAATTTGTAAGGTTTTGTGGTGTAACGGTTAGCACTCTGGACTTTGAATCCAGCGATCCGAGTTCAAATCTCGGCAGAACCTGACACAGAAATTTTTTTTGAATTTTTTGTTCACTTAATTAACATTTTTTGTGCTGTTAAAATTTATTTTTGTGTTCAGCTGTAATTAGAATTATTTTTTATTTCTGTATCTCCAGTTGATAAAGTATTCAGCATCAACAAGTGAAAGTGAAATAAGCTGGAAATAAAATTTAAAAAATTCCGGAAAGAAAATAAAATTAAGTCACAATGTTTCTATGCTGTTCCTAAGAACGATAAACATGTTATTAGATCTAAAACATTTGAAGTGCTTCAGTGGTTTTAGAACAGTTTTGTAGACGGAATTATACATAATCCAACAAATAAAAAAACAAGATCTTTACAAACGAATTTTTACCATTTTTATGACTTGATCAAATCTTAAAATGCATAATTTATTGATTCCCATCATTATTTTATTAAAAATGCAAAAATTCCTTAACGTTCTGGATACGAGGATGTGTTTTAGCCAGCCCGGTTCTAGACTATTTTGCGGTTCCATGGTGTAATTGGTTAGCACTCTGGACTTTGAATCCAGCGATCCGAGTTCAAGTCTCGGTGGAACCTGAAAGGCCTCATTCTTTCTTTTTTGCTGCATATTCTTATTTTTGTGGATCTTTTGCATACCTTTTTGGAACATCATGGAAAGTGAAACTTTGTTTTTTAATTTTTTGAATACTTTTTAAGATAATTTAAAGTTTTATTTATTTTAAAATATTTTTAAAAAAGTGTGAATTTTTATCAATTTCAAAACATTTGTAAGGTTTTAATACACATAAAACATTTGTTGTAAGGTTTTCATAAAATTCCATTTCTGAAAGAATTTATAAGGTTCAAATATTAGATGAATTTAGAAGGTTTTGAGATTTAAAAAACATTTATAAGGTTTTATTTTAAAAACATTTATAAGGTTTTCAAACACTCTCAGACTATTTCAATTCAAAAACTAATTTAAAGTTTTATTTATTTTAAAATATATTTAAAAAAGTGAAATTCCTTTTATCGATTTCAAAACATTTGTATGGTTTTAAAGCACATAAAACATTTGTTGTAAGGTTTTCATAAAATTCCATTTCTGAAAGAATTTATAAGGTTCAAATATTAGATGAATTTAGAAGGTTTTGAGATTTAAAAAACATTTACAAGGTTTTATTTTAAAAACATTTATAAGGTTTTTAAACACTCACAGACTATTTCAATTCAAAAACTAAAGCAATAAACAAAGACTACGAGAAACATGTTGCGCATCCCAAACATTTTACCATTCTATTTATAGCTCTCAAACTTCTATGCTGTTTCAGATTCACTTTCATTTACCAGAAGCAAAAAAAACTTAATAAAGATGAATCAGAGTTATTTAGAAAATTTGCCGATAGAAATAAAGGAACAAATCTTTCAGTACTTAAGTTCATCAGATATCCTTAATCTAGCATTAGTGAGTAAGAATCTAAACGAATCAGTTGGAAATTGTCGAAAATGTATGGAAAAATATTGGATCAAGTTTTACACTTTCAATTTGAAAGATTTGGACAGTCTGGAGAACAGCTGTAGACATTATGTCAAACTAAAGATCAATCGAGTCAAGACTGATGATTATTTTGATTATTTGATAGACTTGAATCAGTGCTGGAAAAAAGTTTTAGTCTATAATTGTGAATTTCAATATGCTGAAAAGTACTTAAAACTGATCAAGGCAATTGCCGATCATGTTGAGGAACTGGAAGTTGCAGTTATTGAAGTATTATGCTTTGAGAATTTTGAGGATGTCAATATTAAATTTCCAGCATTAAAGAGAATCATGTTGAGGAACATGCCGTCCAATACTATGGAGATTTTCGTTAAATCCTGTGACAATCTGGAAGTTGCTACATTTGATATAGCCAATGAAATGAAGAGCTTCAGACCACTTAGGGAACTAATGAAAGAATTTCTAAGGAACAGCAAGAAGTTAAAGCATCTTCAACTCGGTCCAAACTACATCCGAGCACTTTTTAGTGAAAATGAGGCTCTAAACGTTGATTTCCAATTGACTCATTTGCTGCTTAAACTGCCAATAGCGAATGACCTGCCTGATATAGCTTATGATAAAATTGTCGAATTCTTAAGGACACAATTGAAAATTGAATGGATCATCACAATGGAACTACTTAATGACGACATCCTACATGTCATCTGGAATGAACTGAATTCAATCAAGCGAGCATCCTTCATTGGCTTAGTGGAACTCTTTGAACTCGAAATGGGATTTGATCTTCAGCCAAAGATGTCAATCACAAAATTAGACTTGATCTCAAGAAAAGTCCTCATTAGTCAATTAGGAAAATTATTAAGAGCAGCACCTTGTGTTGACTGCCTTCATGTCTGCATCCTGAATCGTCACATGATGGGCACAATCGCTAGAGAAAGCTTCAGTGTCAAGAACTTGTTCTACGAACATATTGAGGAAGACGTGATTGAATTTTATCATGAATTAATTAAATCTGATGCGAACATCAATAAGAATATCAAATTAAACCAAAAGTCATTTTGGTTTGAGAACGAAAATCCATTTTCTTTGGATCCTATTTTTTGGAGGATATAACCGTTATATTTTCAAAAATTTGAAATTTTTCTTCGTTTGAATTTTTTCCGTCCGTTATTTTTCAAATATTTTTTGAGCGTTAATTTTCAAAATTTAAAATTCATCCTTTGAGTCCTACTTAGTCATAAAACTTTTATTAATATCATTATTTGAAATATTTTCTATTATACAACGTCAAAAAAATAAAATAAAATAAATCTCTTCTTAAAAATACTTTGATCTATCGCACTCATAAAAATATTTTTAGTAATTTGTTGTTAAAATCTTATTAAAATTTTTTTAATGAGAATTATTAAAATTTTAGTAAACCTTATCAAACTTTTAGTAAAACTTATCAAATTTTAATAAAAGTTTTTAAAATCCTACAGCGTTGTAAAACTGTTGTAGGTTTCCAAAATTGTAAGGTTTTCATACATTTTATATACTTCACAAACGCTTCCAGAAATGACTTATACAAAAGAATGTCTTAGTTCTCATACAAAGTCATATAAAATTATTAATTTCTTATGAGGCACATTAAGTGCCAAAAATCATGCAAAGTCTTAAGCTTTGAGAAAGCGTTTTACTTAAGACTTGAAAAAGCTCCATACTATAAATTAATTATACTATAAAACTGTTTTTGTAAAAAAAATAATCCAAGAAATTTTAATGACTTTTTACTAAAATCCATGAACAAATTTAATATAAATTATAAAAAATTCATCTTAATAACTTTTTACTAAAGTTTAGTAAGAAAATTATTAAAATTTTTTAACGGTTTTGTAAAATTTGAATGCAATTTTGTAAAACCAAAACTTTTAATAACCCTTATCAAATTTTAGTAAAAGTTATCAAGATGTATTTTTATAAACTTTTATTAAACTTTTTCATACATTTTTAATAAAATTTATTAATTTTTTTTTATGAGTGCGTGTGATGAATGAGTTCCTTTATGCATAGCTGTAGAAAGCAAATTTACTTGATTTTGATTTTATGCAGTTTTAATTTGAAGCCAAGCATTTCTGATAAGACTCCAGATAGAGCTGACAAAACTACGACTTTAACTGTATTGTAAAGATATGAATTGGCACTTAAGCCAGATATTTTGAATGGTGAGTCTAATTCCTTAAGTAAATCACTGGCTAACTTTAATACGCTATTACTAACGCCTAATTCCTCCTTCTTCTGTGGCTTCTTCTCTATTTGTACATATAAATTTATTTGTTCTGTAATCAGAACGGAAATTGATCGATACTTTTTATTGATCTTGGCACCAAGTGTGAAAAATCTCAACATGAAGATCCCACAGCATGATGAGAACACTAGTGCCTCTAAATTAATTTGTGAATGAATATGCTCAGAATCTTTTAAAAATTCGAGGCTCAAAAATGCCAATAAAATGAGTGTTGTGATGAATGCTGCCGATACGATGATATCCACACTCCTTTGTGGACCTAGTCGCTTTAAATATGATCGGACACTCAGCCATGCCTTAATATTTCGAACTTTATTGAGTCTAAAATGTGGAATTAACGATTTCCTCGCACGTCTTGTGGAAGTCAAATGTGAGAATAATTTCGCGTATAGAAATCTAAAATTGAGAAGGAAATCGATTAAGTTGGAAAATACTCATCCAGTTTTACTCACCGTTGTTTAAAAGTCCTCTCAGCAACAGCCAACAAGAAAAAGAAGCAAAAGGTCAGAACAAGTCGTTGAAATGTCGAAATCAGATATAAACTCATTTCCCAGAAGCTCTGGCCCAATGCAAGCTGTACAAATGTGGATATTGTCAAAGAGTCATCTTGAATGACTCGTGGAAGATCAAAAATGTTATTTGTTGAATTTGTATTATTTGTAAGGTCACATAATCTACAATAAATTGGTGTTATAGACAATATGATGCTTAAAGCACCTCCAATGTAAACGTAATCATAAGTTTCAGGAAGATTATCGACTCTCTGAATGATTGACTTGCTTATTTCCAAAACACTCATTTCAGCCTTTCTCGGCTCACGTTTCGTCCATAAAGTCACAGATACTTTCTCACTAGAGTCATTTGGAGTTAAAATATTTGTGGGAAAATTGTCGTCGTCTGTTTCCGAATAATTTCCATCCTCAGCACATTCACTTTCACTATTTGACGTCACACCTATATATTCACCATCCGTTGTCTCAAAGTGCTGATTTGTTGATGGAGATGATAAATCATCATTTTCCTCAAATTCTGATTCCGACGTGTCACTTTTGTTCTTCGTTCCATCCTTTTTAGGCTTTTTTATCGGTGTCGTATTTCTGAGCGTTTCTGTATCACTTTCTGATTGATTTTGGACATGCTGTCTTATTTCCTCGCCACTTGAGCAACTTTTACCGGTTAAACTTTCAAATCCATCATCATCAAGTCGTGCAACGAGGGGGTTTTGAAAGCCCCTTCTTAATCTTATTTGCTGTTGATCAGCCGGTCTTTCAAGGTTGGCATTATCTGCAAGATTCCAATTTACATTACGTCTTCGAATTACTGGAGATTCTGGATTACTTTTACTCTCATTAATAATAATATTCTTATTTTTGAGCGATGAATTTAGTTCCAAATTTATGTTAGGTATTGACTGCTCATCATCTGAATCATACCCTTCCATGGTTTTTATGTCGAGTGAGTTACTCGAAAGTCGTGGTCTAAAAATAGACAAAATGTTATTCAATTATTAAATTGGGCAATACTAATGTGACTGATGACCAAAGAACGATTGTTATTGCTATATGTGGACCTAAGAATTTTTGAGTTGTTCATCAATGATCTACATCAACAACTGGGTCTTTAGAACATCCAGGGTTGCGATACATGCACATGTGCACATGTGAGAACCGTACAATTCCTTGATAATTTGAGAGGTTTTATTAGAATTTATATGGTTTTGTTAGAAAAACCTTATAAATTATCAAGAAATTGTATGGTTTTCACCTGTGACAGGTGCCTGTAACGCAACCCTGAGGCCATCTCATTTTTCTCTATTTACACCGTCTCCTACCTTAAAACTTTGAATTAGGGGATACTTGAGTAAAGAAGTCGGTACGAGAAAGAGGTAGGTGTAAACCGTGAATGTCCAAAAATACATTTTAGAAGTAACTGCATCACATCCATTAATAAAACAACATTATAAACACATATAACAAACAGTCATACCTGAATACTTTCTTTCTCCTTTTGATTTTATCGATCTTACTGATCTTGCCATTAAAATTCATTTTGTGTTGACGACTTTTGGAAGATCGCGATGACACCACCGAAGTAGCAACAATTTGTGAATGAACGAAGCAAAGAAGAAGCGATAAGCTCATTGGAACTAACAATTCACATAATGGAATTATATTTTCATCATCCTCGCCAATTCTTTTGGCATGCAACGAATAAATTGCCCAATTAATCATTTGAAGGAAGTATAAGACGAGGAGAACGATAAAAACTTTTGCGGATGTCTCCTTGACCCACCATCTTGAGAATAATGGAAGGAAGAAATATCTTAAAACAGATAAATACAGAACTTGGATGAGTGACTGTTTGGGCTTTAATTTTGGAAATGTTGATCCACGCACTAGATCGATGTCAATGAAGTCAGTTTTGAGTTTTGTTGACCTCAGCGGGAAGCTTAATGCGCTGTCGATGATTTTTTGTTCCTCCAGTGTTCTCTCCCATTTTTGCTTATCATAAGAACCAATCTTCTTCTGATACCTGTGGGATATAAGACTTTTATTATTGACCAATTATTGGAAGTAAGCCACAATTCACCACTTTTTCATGTTCTGATTTAATTTCATTAAGTTAACAAAATTTTTTTGTATAACTCGCTCGAATCTCACCTTAAAACTATGTCATCCAATCGCATAGCGAATTTGTTATCACAAATTTCTTATCGTTCCTTATCATTAATTCCTTTGTTTGTAATCAGCTAGACAAATAAACAGCATGAGAAAGAACATTTTTATTAGTAAACAATTTTTTCGTCAAATGTGACTTTTTTAACGTCATTGCGTATTATCCAATTATCAAGGGAGTTACTTTAGACGAGTGGCAATTGATTAAATGCCTTAAAGTGGCCACGCTTATGGATTTTTGTCATATATAAATTTAACGGTTTTCAAAAATTCAAAAATTCAACGGGTTTTAAAAATTCAAAATTCACCAGCTTTCAAAAATTCAAAAATTAACGGTTATCAATAATTTTAGAGTCACTAGCCACTTCATGTCATTTCAGTTCAATACATTGTATTAAATTTTCAAATAGAAATTATTTTTTTTGGCAGCAACTGCCTTAAAGTTTACATGCTTGCAAGATTAACATGCAATGAACTTTTCAATGTCTTTTCAGATCTTTTCATTAGGAAATATTTACTGGAATATTGTCATTAATATACTGCGGTCTGATTAATGAGGTCAGCTTGAATTAATTCAAGTTAATGAACTGCTTTTCTCTTCTCACTGAGCACAGAAGCTAAACTAAGTAATATTTTTTCGCGTTTCTTATTTACGATCAGTAGGTAGATTTTTTGGGGATATATGCTCGAGAAAATCCTCTCAGCGGCTCTCACATACACAAGGTATAGTTGACCTTGAAAAACATATGATTATGTACATAATATGCAGCTGTAGATTCTCTCAATTTTATTTATATCTATATCGTGTGCCTCTCTTTTCTTATTTATTATTTTTTTCGTACTTCTTTTGATTCCGTAATGATGAATGAAAGTCTTTTTATTCGACTTATTAAACTATTTCATTGCCATTTTTCATGTTCATGTTCAACTTTCACTAAAACATGCTGACTATTAATAGGCTCACTAATTTATTAAATTAATATTTGATTGAAAATTGTGGATAGCAAGGCTTAACATTAGAAAAATAATGTTTCAACCGTTTTAACATAAATATTTCATGTCTATTAATTTTTTAATATCTAGTTTATTTTGTAGAACATTAATTACATGCTTTTGGGGGTTGTACTACTGCATGTAAATTATAAATGCTCAGATTTATTAATCAGGAAGGAAAAATTGATTTGTGCAGAAAAACAAAAGACATTTTTGCAACTTCCTGAAAATGATTTTTAAGGATTATTATTTCACTTTCTTCTAGATTCCCCACTTAATATAATTAATTATCAGCTACTAATGATGTTTAATACCTACGAGATCACTTTATAATATTAAGATATTCATTTTTGACTTCTTATAGCTTGCTTTTTCACTTGACATTTAGAACAAATAAGAAGTCTCATTTGTGGTACTAATTGCCAGAGCGTATTTAAAGACAAGACATGCTGGTTGAACACATTTGAAACTTATCTTTTCAATAAATTGTTTAACGACTTTCTGTGATTTAAAATTAAACGGTTTTTAAAAGTTTAAAAATCTAAACTTAACGAAACTTTTACTGAACAAACTTTGAATTTCATTTCATTCCAGTTTAAATCGTTTAAATCATAAAATATTTTTTTTATCCATTTATTCTTTAATTAAGCTATTACTGCATGTGATTATTTTACATAGCCCCATACAGCATAAGACAAAGTGACTTAATAGTGCTCATTTCATAAATACACTTTGAAACAGTACTAAAAGTCCAATGTTTACAATTTTTCTCTTTAAAAAATTCAAAGAAAAAATATTTTCACGTATATTAGCGGAAATAAACAAAGTTCATTAATAATACTATTATAAACTAATTATTCACTGCAGTTCTTTTAATAAACAAGTGAGTGTGACAAAAATCATTAGCAATTTCATTCATTTTCATTAATTACACAATGTCCACGTTTATTTACAAGTTTAGACAAAAATGATCAGGAATTGGAGCATATCCAAGAAAGTTTTAGATGCTGTCAAGAAAAGTTCATGGAAGTCAAGACAATATGCAACAGCAGCACAACATAAAATTAAAGAACATCCAAAATATAAGCCTGAAAATGTTTATACTGGATTTTTATGTAAAAAGGTCGAATATATTCCGGAATTTAATATGTTTGCAATCATTCTGGAACATTCAAAGACCGGGTTACAGTACATTCACATCGATAGAAATGATTCCAATAATTTGTTCTCAATAAACTTCAGAACAACTCCATTTGACAGCACTGGATTGCCTCATATTTTAGAGCATACAGTTCTTTGTGGATCTTCAAGTTTCCCCGTCCGTGATCCATTCTTTAAGATGTTAAATCGGTCATTAGCAACATTCATGAATGCCATGACTGGACCTGATTATACATTCTATCCATTTTCATCGACAAACGAAAAAGATTACAGAAATCTTCAAAAAGTTTATATGGATGCTGTCTTTAAACCTAATTTGAAATATTTAGACTTCTTACAAGAAGGCTGGAGATTAGAGCATAAGGAACTAGACAACAAAAATTCAGAATACATCTTTAAAGGCGTCGTTTATAATGAAATGAAAGGAGCGTTTGCAGAAACTCAGCAACTTTTTGGACAAGAATTATTTAATAAGCTATTACCCGAGCATACTTATGGCTTTGTTTCTGGCGGAGACCCAAAATGCATACCAAACTTAACACATGATGATCTCGTCAATTTTCATAAGAAATATTATCATCCATCAAATTCAAGAATTGTTTCTTATGGCAATTTTGACTTGGACAAGAACCTTAATTACGTAAATGAGTACCTTAAAGATTATGATAGAATCGACAGCACATACAGTGAAGTTCCAAATCAAACAAAATGGAAAGGACCTAAAATAGCAAAAGTTAAGGCAAGATACGATAGTATGGGAGCTCCATATGAGAAACAGAATCAAATTGCTGTTGGATATGTTATGTCCGATATCACAAATGTCTATGAAACTTTTCTCCTTTATGTCTTGACAGAATTGATGATTAAAGGTCCAAATTCATATTTCTATAAATCACTCATTGAACCAAACATTTCTGGTGGATATAACAGCATAACTGGATATGATCCAACAACAAAAGATACAATCCTTACAATTGGATTGCAGGATGTCGATAAAGATGATTTTGATAAGATTCTAGAGATTGTTGACACGACAATTGATGAAGCTATTGAGAATGGATTCGAGCAGAAGCAGATTGACAGTGTATTACATAATTTAGAGCTTCAAACTAAGCATCAAACTCCTAAATTTGGGCTAGGACTGCTTTTTAATTTGACTCCAATTTTGAACCATAACGGGAACATAATCGAGTCATTAAGTATTAATAAGCAGATCAAGCAGTTTAAAGATAATATCAAGTCGAATCCAAAATATTTGCAGGAAAAAGTTCAAACTTATTTTAAGGATAATCGACACAAATTGATCCTAACAATGGAACCAGATGAAATGTACGAAAAGACAGCTTTAGAAGTTGAAAAGGCTAATTTGGAATCAAAAGTCAAAAAGCTCACAGAACAAGACAAAAAGAGAATCTTTGAAGACGGACAATTACTTGCTTCTGTCCAAAAAGCTGAAGAAGATATAAACTGCTTGCCATGCCTGAAAATTGAAGATATCCAAACACCGGAAAGACATAGCTTAATATTCGATAAGGTCGAGTCAATTCCAGTTCAAATTTGCAAGACAGACACAAACGGAATCATTTATTTTAGAGGCATTTTAGACACATCAGTATTAAGTGATGATGAGAGGAAGTTGCTGCCTTTATTTTCAGAATTAGTCACGCAATTTGGAACTAAAAAGTACGATTATCGTGAATTTGATACTTTTGTGTCGACCAAAACTGCTGGATTGTCATTTAATGTGCATTTAACTGAAAATGTCAATAATAATCAAGAATATGAGATTGGACTTCAATTTGGATCATATGCCTTAAAACAAAATTCTGAGGATATGTTTAACATTTTTACAGACTTGCTTACTTCCGTTGAGTTTAATGACATAAGCAGGTTTGAGATGTTATTAGAAAATTATCTATCGAGTTTGTCTGTTGGAATCGCTCAAAGTGGACATTTATATGCAATCCAAAATGCCAGTGGATTAGTGACGGAAGCATCAAAATTGAGGGAGGAAATGAACGGAATTGAGCAGTTGATTCACATCAAGAAAATGCTACAAAGTAAAAGTTCAGAAGAGATTCTTGCAGACATTAAAGGTATTCATGAGAAAATTTTGAATAAACGTCCAGTCAGGTGTGCATTAAATGTATCTGAAAATGATGCAGACGAAAGTGTTAAGCAGATTGGGAAGTTCCTTAATGCACTTAAATTGGACAAAAGTGACATTCATTGGAATAACTCAAACTTATTGGCATCAAGTTCTCGTCATAATGTAATGAATATTCCAGTTAATTTCTGTGCTAAAGCTATGAATGCTGTTCCTTACTCTCATGAAGACTATGCTAAATTGAGATTAACTGCTAGAATTCTGTCATCTAAATTCTTACTTCCAACAATTCGAGAACAAAATGGTGCGTACGGTGCTGGATCTAAAGTCGGTCTAGACGGCATCTTCAGCTTCTTTTCATACCGCGATCCTAATTCTGTTAAGACTTTAGACACGTTTGATGAATCTTTTAATTGGATATCCTCAAATATTGATAAAGTCATTAACGATCAAGCTTTATTCGAGGCTAAACTTGGTGTTTTACAGCAACTTGATGCACCAATATCAGCTATGGATAAAGGCATGGAGCAGTTTAAATTTGGAGTTACTCATGAAATGTTTGCAGAGCATCGAGCTAGCATTTTGAACACAAATGTTAAAGACATCAAGAATGTTGCTGAAAAATATCTTTCTGATGACAAGAAGACAGTTGTTGGACGATCAGTGATTGGTCCAAAAAATGAGGGCTTGTCTGGACAAAATTGGATAGTAATAGATCAAGAAAATAATTAGATTACCTATTAGAATAACTTATAATTGAAATAAAATAAAATATTTAACGAAAAATAACGAGCTTTTTGAATTCAAATATACTTTGACTTAATATAACGAATTTTTCAAATTCAAAAACTTCCGTGTGAAAAAAAATTGTTTTGAAAATTTGTAATTTTGTGAAATTAAAGAATTGTAAAAAAGTAACGTAATTAAGACTTTAAAAATGGCAGACAACGATGCATTAATCACTCAGTTTATGGATGTAACTGGAGTTCAACGAGATAGAGCTGAATTCTTTCTACAAGCAGCAAATTTCCAGCTTGATGTAATTTTTTTTTGTCAAATCATCGTCGATTGTTTTGTTATTTTCTTTAATTACATTCCAGGTCGCATTATCTAGTTTTTATGAGGAATCAGTTGATGCACCGCCTGCTGTAGCTTCAGATAGTTCAGATGATGAGGTGTTATCTGGCGTAAAAGAGACAGCAGATAATAAGAAAAGAAGTTATGGAAATCAAAATTTTGCAACAATGTCGTCTGTAAGAGAACCGGAAAAAGAGGGAGAGGAAAGAGGACAAGCATTTTATGCTGGAGGATCTGAACATTCTGGATTACAAGTTTTAGGGCCACCAAAAAAGAAGAATCCTATCAAAGATATGGTCTCGGAAGTCTTTAGACAGGCACAATCAGGAAATTTGGAGCAATTTGAATCAAGTCATGATGGTGATTTACCTTCATTCCGTTCATTTACTGGAACTGGATATCGATTAGGTCAATCAGAAGATGATTCCGTTGCAGTTGCGTCTGGTTCTAAAGGTAAAAATAAGCAACAAGAAGAAACTGTGACTGTGAAAGTTTATAGGCAAGGATTTACAGTTGATGATGGCGAATTAAGATCATATGAGGATCCAAATAATCGAGAATTTTTCGAGAGTATTACACGAAATGAGATTCCAGCAGAATTGAGAAAACAAGGCAAAGCAATGGTTCATGTAAATGTTGAAAATCATTTGAGTGATGATTTTGTCAAGAATACACCAAAGTTTAAGGCTTTTACTGGTTCAGGACATACTTTGGGATCTCCAGCACCAGCTACGGTGGAAGAAATTACAACGACTGCTCTTAGCACTGATCCAAAGGCTAAAAATGCTGAAAATGAAGCTAAAGCTTCCTCGAATCTTAATGTTAATCAAGATCAACCAACAACAATGTTATCAATAAGACTCACTGATGGAAGTCGTTTATCTGCTCGATTTAATTTATCTCACACTATTCAGGATATTCGTAATTTCATCGTTGCTTCTCGTCCTGAATATACTGGCAGGAACTACATATTGCTTACAACCTTCCCAAATAAAGAATTAACAAATCCTGATGATACAATTCAACAAGCTGGCCTCCAAAATGCAGCAATTCTTCAACGATTAAAGTAAGTAAGGATCTAAAATTATATATCGTACTGATGCTCGTGTCTAAAGAAGAAGAAATGTCACAATAAACAATTCTTTGTTACAAATTAATTATTCTTAGTAAAATGTTTATTCATCAATCGATTCTAATTTTCTTTTTGGACACTTATTATTCCATTTGTGTGTAATCATAATAATGTGAGTCAAAAGTGTGAGAGAGATAAAAATAATGTTTTTAAAAATTTAATTATTATTATTGCTGCTGTATACATAAGAATGAATATATTTTCCTTTAATTTGCATTTTTTCATAGCACTTTGTCTAGCTGAAAAGCATAACTTAACGGCTCTTTTTGAGTTTGAATGATATTGAGTCATTCAGTAGTTCAGTTCATTTTTTGAACTTCATTTCAGTTCAGTTCAGATATTTTTGAATTTCTTGAATCTGTTATATTTTAAATTTTTAAAAAAAAACCGTTGAAAACTTAACGAAACTTTACGATCGAGCATGGCACGAAAAAAATGCTAGTTATTAATACAACTTGATAAATAGATAGCAGAGAGAAGAGATCAAAAATCTAATAATCAAAATTTATTACTTTTTGGCATATATAATTATTTCAAAAAAATTCTAAACTAAGAAGAAGGTGTTTAAAAATTTGAGCATTAGGAAACGAAATCACTTGATAAAAATCTATTTTTTATTCGAGAACATAAGCTTATTAAGTTCCTTCGATATGAAATTGATATATTCTACATGCTGTTGCTTCAATGTCGTCCTCCAGCTATAAAGATCATCTTTTTTTGGACACTTGACATATCTATGAACAATAGCAACATCCGTGTCAATTTCAATATTTTTCTTATTATTATCATTCACTTCCTTATTATTATAAGGATATTCATTCTTTTCAATATAAAACGTTTTGGACTTTACATCCACGCTGTACTTTTCATTATCTGATAATATCTTTCTATGTGCGTCCGTACAAACAGCTTTTGAGCTTAATCCAAAACGATTTATTTCATTGGAACTTCTTGACATAAACTTAACAAGCTGTGACTGCATTGAGGATATTTTTTCTGATGGATATATGTAATCATTAAGTGACGAAACCATGACATATTTACTCAATCCAGAACTTCGAAGCTTACAGTCAGCTTCAATAATTAAAAGATTTTTAATTTTACTGTTTAAGGCAAATGGGAAGTTGTATGGCAAGACATTCAATCGTACACCATATTTATTAGTAAGGAGGTCGATAGCATGTTGATGCATTTGATTAATATACGAATTATAAACGATAAAGTTTCGAATACCAATTAATTCATGATGTAAAAAGAACTGAATCACATTCGTATCATTATTGAATTCATCAGGAAAGGATTTATTATAGCTATTCAGATCTAGACAGATGGTGAGAAGTGATTTATCAATATTCGGTTTCTGCTTAATTGTCAAATGTCTAATTGGTACATAATGTTCAGTTTTTGTCTGAGTATTAAGAAGAATCAAGTTTTTCGGTTCACTGCTGTGGTCAGCCTGTGTCTTACATAGGAACTTATAAATCACATATTTCTCATTTTCCTGCTCAATATTATTTTCAGACATGTCAGTTTCTTCAATCCTCATAAATCCAAACTTTCCAGGCTTTATTGTATCATCACTGTAGTGGACTTTGCACTGTAAAACAGAGAAATGAAATTTATAAATCCCTAAAGAGCGATAATAAAATATTTACCTGAAATAATACAGGAGATAAAATACTCCCGACACCAATTAATATGACCTCCCCACCTTTAATTAAGTCATTCTTTCTCCAAAATGCTGAATATCCATGAAAATCATTATTCAAATTAACCCAGTTCGGCAATGGATAATCAAATCGATATGAAAAGTTTGAATAATTTTCAATTTTCACTAAATTAATTGCATCTTTTTGACCGAAGAAATTTATGACATTTAATACATGATTTAATCGTTCATTTTCACTCTTATACACTATTAATATGCTAATTGAGATTATTGAGATTAGAACTAGCAGAAGTTGCTGATATTTCCTCATTTTCGAGCCTTTATTTCATTTAAAAATTAAATTTCTTATAAACTATATATTAATGCTCGCAGACGAAACAAAAAAATAATAATGTAAATATGTAGGTTTGTATGTCTGTGCGTGATGTAGACTTCTACACTTTCTGAACTATCAATGTGTACATATTATTTCAAAACAAACAAATCCTCAGCATAAATCTTGCAATAATTTTATTATTCTGTAGAACAGAGTTCGAAGTTAACCCGGTTTGAGTCAAATCCACTCAAAAATTGAGTCGAGCTTCAAAACTCGAACAAAAATGCTATTAGTAATTTATACTCGCATTTCTTTACTGTTCGGGATTTGAAGCTCGACTGAATTATTCCGCAAAAAATTCAGCTTTTATACCAAAAAATTACCGCCAAAATTATCAAGTTCAATTTTTGAACTTTAGCACATTCAAATTTGTATCTATCGTTATTAATTTAAATTTAAAATTTCCGTTAAATTCAATCAAAATTGTCTGGTAGTTCATTCATCATTTCTGGCTCATATGTGTACTGTATGCTGTTACTTTCTTCTTGTGTCTCTTCAGTTTCGACTCTTCTATCTTGAGGAATTTCCAATTTAAAATCCATATACGGTTCCTTGTATTTTTCAGCCCATCTTACGGAGATGTCTTTCGATAATGATTTTCTGAACACCATACATGTGAGATTTTTAAGCTTCTCAACTTTAATTCTTCTAAAACCAAGCATAGCTAATGTCCACTTCCAGTTCTTTATTTGTGCTGCATTTCGATGTTGACTGCTTGAGTCTGGAGTGATGATGATCAAGATTCCTTCTGTTTTTAATACTTTATAAGCATTTTCACAGCACTTGATTCTCATTTCTGATGTTGGAAGGTACTCAAGTAATAGACAGAACATGACAATGTCATAGTGATTCTCTGGAAGGCTTGTTATTCTGTGATTTTCTTGTATTAAATCATTAGTTATTGGAACTGAATAAAAATCACAGTAAAAACAGTCGCTGGATGATGGAGCTATGTCTATTGGCGTCAAATGGAATCTTTCATGAATTTTGAAGAAATTTCCATTGGAACCAACATCCAACACATTGAGTTTCTCAAGATTTTCAATATGTTGTGGATAGTGATGAATGTCAACCTGATTCTCTTGCCTTAACTTCTCAATGACATTAAAATCCTTTTGTCGAAAACTTTCAAGCTCAGTCTTTTGGAAGTAAAACTCACTATAGCTAATAATCCATTTAATTCTGTCATTTAAATCGTCTGTATTTTTCTGCTTCCAGTGAGTTTCACTTAATTCCTTCATAGTTTTAGCATAAAGGTCTAATTTCTCCTTATTTTTCAAATGATTTGACCATGCTTCATCTGCACCAACTTGCTTACTTGACTTCCTTAAGTCTTGATGAATTCCTTTAATTATATTAGCCAGTTTTTTCTGTTCTTCTAAATTGTCCATTTTTTCGTGTGTTGAAGACTAACAGCTGATTTTGAGCAACTAGACAAACTTCTGTGAAAAAAAATTATATTCGCACGTTCCAAAAGACTGCTTTTAAATGAAAATGTAATTTATTGAATGAATTTAATTAATCAATATCTTCAGGACGAACAGGATTAGTTAAAGGAATAACAGACTTTTTATCTACATCTCTTTTTAATGCTTTTCTCATATCGTAAGCATTCTCATCGCCTGAATAGTACTCAAGCACAGTCCTATAGACTATATAGCCCAATTGATGATACATGTTGATTGCAATTTGATTGCTTACTCGAACAAAGAGATCCACAAAGAAGCATCTCTTCTTTTCTGACACATCTTCAAGGAATTTCATCAATGTTGCAGCTAGTCCAAGTCGTCTGTAATCCGGTGAAACGCTAAGTGCTGTAACATGTCCATGCCAATTTTCCATCATTCCTTCCGCTTTACCCATAACTGGAAGTTTAGGAATCTCATTAATCTGTCACTGTTAAATGTAATATACACAACTTACTATATCCCATGATCTCGCCGCTTGGAGATACAGCAACTAGAACAGCATTAGAGTATGATTTGGGTAACAAAATTAAAGAATTCTATTTATAATTCATACCTTGAAAGTATTCAGGCCAATGAGCGAGATATTGCATGTAAAATGATAATCCATAAGTCTCTGTCAATGCGTCGAGATTCACTCCATTGAATTTAAACATGTCATTGCAAACGAACGCACGTAAACTCGTCATTTTTAACTTTAATTAATATTCACATTCAATTTGTTTACTTTTGAGCTTATTTGTTGATAGACAACAATGCTTAAAGATCCACTTTGGCTGACTGACTATTGCTAGTTTATTGCATTCGATAGCTGCAACTGATGATCTGGAATTCAAAAATTTAATTATTTGTTTTATAGCTTCTATGTGATTTATATCCAACAGTATCTTAATTTCTGGACATCGATTGAAAATGGCTATACTGATTGTAAATGATCTTTGCGAGTAAAATGCGTTCTTGTTTACAGATCTGTAAAATCGACTTCCTTACTAATTTCAAGGGGAAATGAACTAGTTTTCTGCAGAGTTTTATTTCAGAAAATACACAAATTAAATTTAATTAAATTAATCCTATATTAAACTATTAACAGTCATTTAAAACACATTATTCAGGATGAATTCAATACTTAGAACATCAGTAAGATCGATTCGATCATTAGTCACGCTCCCAAAGATTGGAAAAACGATACAAAACAGATCAATTTATCACATGGTCGTTTCAAGAAACAATTGCGCCTCAAATACAGCCATAACTTTAACTAATCCAAGCATAAATTGCAAATGTGGATGTGGTGGAATGTCAAAAATTCATACAAAAGGTAAGTAAAATTAATTATTAAATTGAGGTTATAGCCGGTATCAAGTCGGTCTATTTGTTTACCTAAAATGTTCAGGCGAGCGTGAATTAGTCGAGTTCCTTGCTGAAGAAATCGTTGCTGAACGAAAAGCACAAAAGAAGAAAACATTACCGACTGAGATTGATGGATTTAAAGTCAAATTGGATGGTGCTGATGTTGAGCTTATCAAAGATCTTGGAAAGGAAAAGTAATTTCACAAATGTACCTACTTATTGCTGATTGTACATACTTAATACTCTATTTGTTCACAGAATCACAATTTCTTTCAACGTCAATCACACAGTTGATGCCGAAGAGGAACCAGAAATTACACCAGAAAAGGATAATGCTGAGTTTGGGGAAATGAAGAGCAAGCCAACATTTGAAATTGACATCCTTAAGGAAAATGGAAAGACGCTGTCAATTTCATGCTCATTTTTACAAGGCGAGCCACAAGAAGGCGAATATAATGATGTTTTTGGCATTGATGAACTTACAATTTTTGATGGAGAATGGACAGACAAGACTTATGCTGTTGCTGGCGACGTATTAGATGGATATTTGTATGATCTTTTAATGAATTTCCTCGAAGAAAAGGGCATATCCAATGAATTTGCCGAAAAGATTTGTGAATTCAGCACAGCTTATGAACATCACCAATATATTAGTCTTCTTGAAACACTCTCTACATTTGCAATTGAAACAAAATAGATGATTAACAATTAATTACATAATATTTCCAATAACTTAAGCTATAGTCGTTTAGTCGATCGTAATTTGTATAAAAAGAAAAATATATTGCATTTCATTAAAGAAAACATGAATAAAAGATTTACTGAATTTCATTATGTGCAACATTTATAACTTAATTCTGGATACAACTAATAAGTATATTTTTTAAATTCTGATCAGCTTTCAGCTTCTTTTTTGCTACTATTGTCTTCATTGCTTTTTGTTGGCTTGTCAAATTCAGTTCCATTAATATGATTTGTTTTAAGGTCGATAACGTCTATTTTGTGCAGCGTCAGTGCTTCCTTAAAAATACAATAATAAGAATATTTGCACAATCGACCATTTCTTATAAGAATTATTAAATATACCTGCACACATTTTTGATAACTAAGGAATAAAGGTTTACATACTGAATCATCGGTATGACCCTTCAGGAATTTTTCACTAAACCAAGCATTAAAGCATGCGTCGTACCTTGATTTTAAATCATTACAGTTCTCACCAATACTGTTCATGCTTTTTAATTAATTTATATAAATAAAGTTGCGAAAAACTTAATTAAAATGCCTTTTTTTCGGTACTTTTAACTCTTGAAATTTATTGATCACAACATTACTAACTCACACATTTAAAGGAATCAAGAGGAATTGGATTATGGAGCAAATTTCAAAATAAGGGGACATTAACTTCAAAAAGAGAATGTCTCGAATTATGATTTCAAGTGAAGTTTTTCTTGTAAAGGACATCAAAACAGACATTAATTTCAAGTTTCAGGTCATTTGGTGCTCTTTTTACGATTCTGAGGCTGATTTTTCAACCATTTTAACTTCAAACAGCCATAGAATCGCAACAAAAAAAAACACCAATTGACCTGAAACTTGGCATGATATCACTTTTGATGTCCTTTATATGAAAAACTTCACTTGAAATCATAATTCCAGACATTCACTTTTTGAACTGAAAGTACTCTTTTTTGAATTCTGCCCCATAGTGATTTGCTCAAATTTGCTCATTTGTCAAGCATTATTTATGTAGAAGAGATTTTTGAAGTGTCATATTGTCTGTGGGATGATATAAAATAATTTGTTATAATTCGAACTTTATTAATTGATTAATTCTAAATCTTTTATTCCTTTTAACGTATAAGTTAAATTTAAATTTTCTTCGTTAAGTTTCATCTCCTAATTTGACGAGCTTTTTGAATATTAACCGTTATTAAAAGTTAAAACGTGATTAGCTGAAACTGATGAAATACTTTATTAAACTTACATTTAGGAGGCAAGCGTAAAGACTTTACTGCGCTATTGTCAACTGCATGAAAAAGATATAAAACGCTACTTACACATAAGGAGAGGAGTTGATAACAACAGAAAAAAATCATGAGAAAAATCAACTAAAGTAGTCTTAGCAGTGCAATTTTAGTCTTAAGTAGTGTATAGATAATAAGAGGTAAAAATGGCAGTCAAGGAGATGCTAATTGTATTTGTATATGATCTAGAATACTGCCAAAATGAACGTAAGAATAATTTTGCTGATAACTTTGTCAAATTTCAATAATCACTCGTTTTTATTGATGCTGGGTTATAAGCCCAGAAAATCAAAGTCAATAAAGGTTTATAAGTCCAGATACAAATTGCACCTGGACTTAAAAACCTCACGTGCAGTTTATAAGTTCAGGGGCAAATACAGCTGGAATTATAAACTGTCCAGGTACATTTTATATCTGGACTTATAAACCTCACGTGTGGTTTATAATTCCAGAAAATTTATAAATTTTACTAATAAACTTCTAGTGCGATTATAAGTCCAGATACATTTTTCTGGACTTATAATCCTTGAAAATTATTTGTGAAACTATTTCGTTTTTTTTTTTTTTTCTTTATTAATTATGAAAAATTATACATTTGACAATAGGCGATTCCAGTAGGGTAAATTGCAAAAACTTTGACTTCAAATGAATTTTTTGTCGAAATTTTTCATTAAACCTTACAAGCTTTTCAGTTTATCTGATGTAATTTTTTATTTCCTAATTATTAAGATATTTAAATTCTTCAGCCCGTTGCTTTGTGACCAAAAATAGAATTTTGTAAAAGTTGTAACAGGGTAATCAAAAATTTCATATCAAATCCTCATATTTGCAGCATTAAATGTACACTTAATGATAGATTAAGATCTGTTTAGAAATGTAAATGCTCCAAACTCCAGTAATAAAGCTTAATTATCGAGATAAATCGATTCTCCCAACGTCAATTTTTTGTCAAAAAGCAACGCAAGAGCTTAAATTTTCCTAATCCGTTAAAAAATTACAAAAATTTTTTGATCGAAAATACTGTAATTCTTAACTTTCAAGAAACACTTTTGACAAATTTCATCATTTATAATAAAAGTAAATTATTATTGATGGAAAATTTAAAAATTTTGCGAAATATATTTATGATGTAAGCATAATTGACAACGGATTATAAAAGCTCATTTTGAAAAATGATTATGTTGCATAGACCGGGAAAATAATTCTGCAGATTTCTAGAAAAATTCTGATCAATTATTCTAGCAGAATATTAAAACAGAATTTCCAGAATTCTCCAGAATTCTGAAAGCTTATTCTGCTGATTCTGATGACAATTTTTTTTCAATTCTGACAATTCTGAAGATTATTTCTGATGAATCTTCAACAGTATAGAATTTTTTTTTTCAGAATTTAATTTCCAAATTCTGCATAATTAAAAGAGTTCTGGAGAATTCTGGACAAATAATTCTGGAGAATTCTGGTCAAATAATTCTGGAGAATTCTGTAATAGTTTTTATATAAATTGTCAAATCGGTAAATTAATCAGAAATCCAGCATCAACCTGGTGTGACTTTGGCATGGTGCTAGATTTAAATCGAAGCCATTCGTAAGTATTTCCTAGGTTGTTTACTATCATTGTTTAGGTTTTTGTTTCCAGTTTTTATTCTTGTATTATTTTATTTATATTTTAAATGTTAACATCCAGAGTGAAAAATTTGATTTTTATAAAACTGTAAACTCAACTGTAAGTACTGCTCAGCAGCTAAGCTATAAACACCATCTGTAAATTACAGCTTTAATTTGATTTTTACGTAACGAAGGAAGTTCATCTGTAATCTACAGTTGTAGCTAAATAGCTAATGCTAAATAGTATACAGAATTCTCCAGAATTATTTGTCCATAATTCTACAGAATTCTGTTAAAAAATTCTGTTTTCTGAAATCATGTTGCGAATGTGTCGCGTGACATTTTTCAAAAAATTCTCCAGAATTCTGATAAATAATCCTCCAGAATTCTGGAGAATTCTGCAGAATTATTCTGCACAACTGTGTTCCAGAATTCTGCAGAATTCTCGAGTCTGCCAGATGCACTTCACCCAAATGCAGGGAATCATTGATATTTTTGTTTTTCTATGGATATAGGAAGCTCTGCTGTGTCAATGCCAAGAAATTTGACTTTCAAGTTTGAACTTTGAAATTTGCGCAGAAAACTTTGAAATTTGCGCAAAAAAACCTTGAAATTTGCGCACTTTTTTGACAGCAATATTGAAACTTGGAAAAAATATTGTTGAAACCATATCCAATTTTAAAATACATTAATTAAAATATAAGGGAAATGATGATGTATATTACCAAATTATATGATTAGATTTAGTTTCGTGAAAATCCGTGAAAGCTTAATGTTCAACAGGACAATCTTAGATGTATTAGGAGTAAATTCCAGCGTGGAAAAAAAAACACTAGATAAATGGTTTCAAAATAGTTCAAAAGCACATAATAAATTCAAAAAGGAACAAGCAAAATGATGTATCCATAGTAATTCAATTTTAAAATTTAGTATAAAGTCTAAAAGCTATCTTCATTTTATTGCCTTTTTTGGCCGACCACGTTTCCTGATTACTTGAGTTGATGCTTCATGTTTTTCCTCTTTAATATTCATAATTTTGTCATGCAATTCTTTCTTTTTTTCTCGGTCAATTCATTTTTGAGCTTTCATATCCTCAAGTTCCTTTAATTTTTGAGCAGTTTCCTTCAAATCTTCTGTAGTTTTTGGATCGCCTTATTTGGCTGAATCTATACACCACTTTGCAATTTTGACTTCTTCTTCAGTTGTAAGGACCTTTATTTTTCACTGCGCAAATTTCAAAATTTTTCGTAAAATCTGCGCAAATTTCAAGGTTCAAAAACAAGCCATTTTAAAAATGAATTTTAAAGCAGTTCCAGGTATCATTTTGAATTGGAACCATTTGAAAAATGTTGAGCAATGTCAGATCTACATTTTCTGATACCAAAATTTAATCTATACCAATGCATGCATCTCAAAATCAAAATGTAAAGAAATTTAAGTTTTGTATGGGAGTTTTTGGTAATAAATTATTAAGCTTTCTAGTGCCTTAAGACCACTAAAAATTAGGAAAAAACATCTGTGCTTGTGTTCTGCAGACATTTCCCATTGATCGTCTGAATAGAAGTGCAATTTTCAGATATAATTTTAAAATTTTCGTTTTCATACGAGTGCGCAAATTTCAAGGTTGCGCAAATTTCAAAGTCATTTACCCTAGTTTGAATTTCGTCACCCTTGGGAACACTATGAACCAGTATACCTTACACTTATTTGAACCACATTTTTTCGTTAATGTTAAAATATTATTAAAAAGTAATTAATCCTGAATTATGTCGCTATTTTGTCAAGTGTTTTAAGATAAAGAATTTGTTTTTTGGTTTCCACAGTGAAGAGTATGAACAAAAATCAGATAAGTTAGTCGAAATTTTAGATTTCGGTTTTTTTTAAGCTACAAAAAGTAATATTGGTATGTGATTTATGTCAGAAATATGTCAATTCAAATAAAACATACAGAAATTTTTTGACCAGAGTACACCATAGAAAATCAATTTTCAATTTTAGACTCAAGTCAAAATCAATTTTGTCACTTTTTTCTTCGAGGGTTTATCCAAATGGATTGAAACTTTGCATAAATATTCTAGTGCTTAAAACAAATACAAATAAAATATCCTAAAATTTTTTGAGGAAAGAACCAAGGAGAAATACATTTTCAATTTTGGACAAGGGGCGACCCTAGTCAAAATCAATTTTGTCACTTTTTTCTTCGAGGGTTTATCCAAATGGATTGAAACTTTGCATAAATATTCTAATGCTTAAAACAAATACAAATAAAACATCTTAAAATTTTTTTGAGCAAAGAACCAAGGAGAAATACATTTTCAATTTTGGACTAGGGGCGACCCTAGTCAAAATCAATTTTGTCACTTTTTTCTTCTAGCGTTTATCCAAATGGATTGAAACTTTGCATAAATATTCTAGTGCTTAAAACAAATACAAATAAAACATCCTAAAAATTTTTTTGAGCAAAGAAACAAGTAGGAAATACATTTTCAATTTTGGACTAGGGGCGACCCTAGTCAAAATCAATTTTGTCACTTTTTTCTTCTAGCGTTTATCCAAATGGATTGAAACTTTGCATAAATATTCTAGTGCTTAAAACAAATACAAATAAAACATCTTAAAATTTTTTGAGCAAAGAACCAAGGAGAAATACATTTTCAATTTTGGACTAGGGGCGACCCTAGTTTGACTGGACCTGTCCCAAGTTCATAATTGAAAATGTATTTCCTACTTGGTTCTTTGCTCAAAATTTTTTTTTTTCATCCAAAGTTTAATTTAAATAAAATCACAGTGAACTTTGAATTTGAAAAATTCGTAAGAAAGGAAAGTTTTTTGCTTTTTCTGAAGCAACGGCTGTTCCTACCTTGCCCAAAAACAAAACAGCTCTTCTATAGAGCAGCACGGATCAAATGTAAAAAACTAGAAGTCTCTACAATGTCTCGTTATTGAGATTTCTTGCTGATTAACTTGCTTGCTTGCTTGTTTGCTTACAGAAAGCGTATTTTGCGATTTTCTCAGCAATGCCATAACCAATTTGAAATCTGTTTTTTGAAAATGATGTAAAATTTCAGGCACAAACTTTTCATGTCTGAACATTTTAAGCTATCTTGCTCCATATCCTCACAAAATTCAAAAAAATGATTTTTCAATCTGAACAAAACCAATAGATTAACACGTGAAAACGGTGTGAATATAAAAATTCAACAGAATAATTCTGCAGAGTAAAAACAAGTTCTTCAGAAGTATTCTAGTTGATTTTTTTTTGTTACATCCATGTCACGCAACATTCATCAGAAATAATCTTCAGAATTATTCTGTTGTCATCAAAATTATTCTGTCTATCCTATGCAACACACTCATTTTAAATATAAACTTTGAATAAAGTTTTTTTTTAATAAAACCTTAAAAAAATTTCATTCTTGATATACATTTTTAAAAAAGTATATTTTAGAATTATCAGAATTCTGACAAAAAATTCTGCTTGAATCAGAATTCTTCAAAGTTTATTTTTGTAAATGGAAAAAAAATTGCCATCAGAATCATCAGAATAAGCTTTCAGAATTCTGGAGAATTCTGGATATTCTGTTTTAATATTTTGCTAGAATAATTGATCAGAATTTTTTACCAGAATTCTGCAGAATTATTTGTCCGGTCTATGCAACACTCCCCAAACGATCTCGCTTTTTCTTAGGACACTAGTTGGGTTTCGATCAAAATGGTTATTATTCCGTTCATTCTATCATTTTCTATGTTTCTGCATACTTAAATTGTCTTGAAAGACATTCAATTAACAGAAAAATGAATAATTTTATTGCAACTAATGTAATATACCAACGCTTAAGCCAAATCCGTGGGAAATGATATTAAAAAATCAAGTTTTACTTTAATTACCAATAATTTCTTTGATTAGAATGTTGTTTATAAAATTAAAGTTTGGTTAATAAAATTTTTTTAAAAAAGCATTATAGAATGTTTGTTAAGCTTTAAATCTCAACCATATGCTAAGCGAAGCTTATCTGACTTGCCACGTTATATAAAATAAAATTTTAATTTTAAAAAATAATTTTTTAAAACGTATTAGGAAAATAAAAGCTGAAGTTTGCAGAGATGTAAATTTACATCAGAAAATTTGATTTATCTTCTTAAACTTCCTTAAAATTCAATTTAAGCAATGATTTGGAAGATAAAACGTTTAATTTATTATAATTATTTTAATGAAATACAACAGCTGAAAAGGATATATAAAGTACTTTAGAGGAAAAAAAAACAGAAAAGTTCATTTGTAGAATTGCTTTAAAGGAAAAAATTGAAATAGTTTCAAAAATAATTTTTAAGGATTATAAGTCCAGAAAAATGTATCTGGACTTATAATCGCACTAGAAGTTTATAAGTAAAATTTATAAATTTTCTGGAATTATAAACCACACGTGCAGTTTATAATTCCAGCTGTATTTGTACCTGGACTTATGAACTGCACGTGAGGTTTTTAAGTCCAGGTGCAATTTGTATCTGGAGTTATGAACCTTTATTAACTTTGATTTTCTGGACTTATAATTTTCAATTATTTAATAGAGGATGATCCATTGAAAGCGATTAAGTACTTCCATCCATCTTGGGTTTCTGAGCAGCAAAAAATGGCATTATGTGGACAACTCGTTGGAATGCTGAATTTCTGTTCAGATTTTGAGGAAGTGAATTGTATAAGCTTGCAGAATGGCAAGTTTAGAATTGAGCAATTTGGACGATTCATATTGGCACTTGGAACAGACCGAAATATTCAGGAATCATTGCTTAATCATCGAGCTGAATTAATGACGAAAATTCTAAGACTATACCATAATGATATCAATGATATTTTTGAACATTTTAGTGATCCAAAGAATTTCTCAGACAAACTTTATCATATATTTGAAACTTACTTACCCGTACTTCAATATAATAGTAATCTATTACAAAATATATATAAACTGTACTTGCCAAAAAGTACGAGCAATTTGTTCCTTGATGCAACTCAGATACTGGAAAATGCAGCATGCAAACCAAATATCTTAGGTGGATGTATTTTATATAATAACAAAGTAATATCCACTCAATTGTCTATTGATCTCACAAAGATTCTCGTTGCAACAGATCCAGTCAGAATTAAAACTACAGCTGAAGTCGCTAAAAATATCGATTTTCACATTCCTTTCGGTTCTCAAATCATTAAAGTTTACATTTCTGTTAATGAATATCATAGATTGCAGCAAAAGAAGAATAAAATGAGTGAAGCTACATCATTAGGCGTTCAAAACACTTTGCCATTGCCATTCTCGATTAAAAAGAAAAACAAAGAATCATCAACATTAATGAAACGAGATAAATCGTTAATCTTTTCAAACATTCCAGAAGAAGAAGTCTTAATTGAGATCCCATCACCAGTTGAAAAGATTCGAACAAATAGACCGAATCATTTACCATTAAAGTTTAAAACAATTCCACCAGAATCAGGCATAGCATCGATTGTTTCATTTGATGAGTCAGACTCATATCCAGACTTTATTGGAAAAGCAAGCATTGCAAGTACTCCGATGACTGAGAATAAGATTCTTGCTGGACCAATTCAGTCAATATTTGCTAAATCAATAGAAACTACTCAAGCAGCTTTATTCGGTGAGGTTAATGCGAGTGAAATTAAGCCACTCGTTAAAGAAAAGTCAAGAGAAATACCAAAAGAATGGGAAAATGTTTACATAGCTTTTGCACACAATCCATTTAAGAGTCAGCTACAGTGGAAGAAGAAGTCATGGGATGATTTAAGAATTAATGATGATGAAAATAGTAGTTCATATAAAGTCTATGATACAATAACAGATCCAATTTATCCAATATTTAGTGATAAAAAGATGCCAATGTCAAAGACTCTTTTTGATGATTTTCAATCTTTACATAATCCGAATGTCAACGAACTCAAGCCACTTCCAATTGAAGAGAAAAATTTAATGAAATTAAAGAGCTTACCACAAAAGATTTTCGAAGCTGATCCAATGATTATGAAAAGATCGGATATTAAAAACAGTCCAAATAGGATTATGCGGAATCAAAAGAAGAAATTATTAAAATTGCCAATTAAGTCATGTTCATTAGATCTCTCCGATCCCGGAAAGCCGTCAACAAGTAAAGCAGCAGCAGCAGAAAACACATCAATTTTCGATTCGCCATCCACAAAGACAAAGAAGAACATGGGTGGTTTACAACTTACACCATTAATGTCAAAATTAACACTCTTGGCCATGAGTGAAAATGAAAATTTCTCCAGTGGATTTTCGAGCTTTGATTTACCAACTCCAACTTATTATGATACACCAACCGATAACACAAATCGTACTTTATTTAATCGTTTGTCTAAAGTTGATGAAGAGAAACATGAAGATAATACAGTTGATGATGTTAATGAACAGTCAAATGAAATGAAACGTGTGGATTTGTTGGTAATCGGACATCAAAATATGACATTAATGGTGATTGCTGATGAGAATTTGTGTGATGAGTTAATGGTTCAGCAAATGTTTGAAGTTTGCCTCAATCGATTAACTCGTTTGGAGTCAAAATTGAATGAAGTTATTAACGTGACTGTGGATTTAAAGGCAAGTGAATATTCATTCATGACATTTGATCATACTTGGAATGTCTTACAACGCAGCGGAACGTATGATCAACAAACTGCAATATTAATACATGACAACTTTACAGCAAATAAAAATATCTCTGACGTTATTGTCAGAACTAATGATTCATTAATATATGGTCACAATTCCGGTGGTCTTGAAGTGTTTTATCAACATCCAGCTAAACAACAAAGTGGCTTTTTAGCACCTTCAGAATTCACCATAATTTCTCAAGCCAAGAGAAAGTTGGAACGCGATCAATCTATTGTTCTTTTCTAAATTAGCTGTTCTTGCCAAAATTATTTCTTAATACCTAGAAATTCTAAGAAAACAAAGCACTTGATAATTGGCATTTTACTCATTTTTGGATCTCAATACCCAAATAACTGGAAGTGATTTTAAAATACACCATGCTTTGCTCAGAACAACAGAATTTACCCAAACTATTTTAAATGTCTAGAAATTATTTTTATAGATAGAAATAACTCATAACCATATCATCACAATATATCTAAAAAGATCCAGAAATGATTGAAATTGTCCGTGACTTTCATTTGTTAAGGCTTTTATTTTCTTAGAAATATTAGCGCTATGAATTTACCTTTTCGTTGACACATTGAAAGTTTTGCTTGAAAATAATTTTTTGAGCTTAATGTGAATTTAAATAATTCTTGCTTCTTATTAGCAACTAGAAATGTCTCTTTAGAACAAAATACACAGTTGAAATGCATATTCTAATATCTGATCTGATAATTTAGATTTAATCATTCAAAAACCTTAATTTAATTATTAGAAATACATTGAATATTAGTATTACAATCTACTAAAACCGACTAAGCTTATTACAAAATCCAAATCAACTTCACTCTCTGCTTTAAATTTAACTTATTATTGGAGAATCTTGACACAGTTTATTTGATATTCTCAATCAATATGTAAATAAATTCCTAGCTTCAGATAAATCTAGGTCCAAGTTAACATTTAAGATTTTTCAACAAAAATAACCTAGAATGTTTACGTTTTTCTTCGAAAATAACATCAGCTATTAGAAACATTAATATTGCAAATTTTGTTCTCAAGAGACATTCAAAGAATAATTACATAAAAATACTAAGTAGACATTATTCAATAATTCCAAACAAATAATTAAATTTATAGAAGATGTCCTAGCTAGTGGAACGAAATCGCCAAAGTTAAAATTGTTTTGTAGAAGAATCAAGAAACTATGTGTTTTTTTAAATTTAAAGATATTATAAAATTAGGTTAATTAGAGTTATTGTTCATTTGATAATTTAACGAATCACGTTGTGACACTAAAATGCATTCCAAAACATAATTTCCACTTTATTTTAAGTGATTTTTCATTTTCTAAGAAGAAGACTATTAGTTTTTAATAAAAATATTTTTTCACTATATTGATTATGGAACGAGATACCTTGATGAAGAGATAGGTACAAGAAAAATAAATGTCTTGACGAAAAAAACTATAAAAGAAAAAAGTTTTATCAAATATTAATATCACGTTCGTTAACAATTTACTTTCACATTTTTCATTAAATGGAAATTTTTATTTCAACAATATTTTTTTTCTTTATTCAACAGTGTTGAACTTGCATTTATAATTAATTTAAAATTATAAGAAGGTAAAAAAATATGGGTAAGTAAGATTAACACAACAGCAACATGAAATCTGACACTAGTAAGCACACTTCGTCGTACAAAAGTAAAAAAAAATATGTCAAAAGTGAACAATTGAAAATTTATTAATTAAAAATTAAATTCAATTTTATATAAATAATTTTGTGTCAAAACGGATTTACATCACAATTTCAATGTACCGTTTAAATTCATTAACTGAATAGTATTTATAAAATAACATTCATTTCATCAACGAAATTGAGAAAATGCAGCAATTGAGAAAATTATTTACAAAGGTCTGTTATTTGATTCCTAAACACATTTGTCCAATATGACTCACTCATTCTTAATCACGCTATATCCAGAACTTATGAGAACTTTATTTTCTTCCTCTACTGGCGACTCATCGTCTAGACTAGCTACAGATTCTTCAATATTTGAGGGCTCTGGTTCAGAATCATACTCATCATCCTCAATATTTTCATCAATTCTATCAATTTGTTCAGTTATTAAACTTCCATTTGCATCCTCTGCATTAGCATTGTCTTCAGCAACATCAACGAATTTCGATGAAAGCTCGCCACTTAATCGATTTACAGATTTTGTTGGAATATCATACATAAAGATTTGCTGCTCGTTCGTTGTGCTATCTCTGTAAGAAAAATTAAACGAGTTATTGTATTAATTTAAATATCTCTCTCGCTTAGCTTTACTGCTGCATGAGATTAGCAAGTCATTAACGTAAGTGAAAATTTTTCAGGGTCGATAATTATGTTTAAACTGATTTAGATTCACGAAAAACTCTTTTTAAAAATTAAGAAAGTTGAATGATTATTGGAAAAATTTTACGAGACATGAATTAATGCAGAGAGTTAAGCAATTAAGTACCCCTGACCGATTGAACATATAAAAAGCGCAGTTATTGCACACTTTGTTGAATTAAGACGTGACTTACTTTGTAACTAGCAAAACGACGCTTTGTGAATCCGGATTGGATTTTTGTTCCTTTTCAAGCCATTTCTTGAAATTCTCCGACGATGGCTTCTTAATTACATTTTTGAAGATATCTCCACTTAGAAACTTTATGTGCTTATTTTCTAAAACATTACGTTCGAATCGAATCTCTTCATTGTCTTGTGAAACTGGCGCTAAAACTACAACACTCGAAATCTTCTTTCCTCTCAATTCCTCGACATCGGGAATCGGGAAATGAGCTCCATTAATTTTGATTGGCAAATAACGGCTGAAATTTTGTTTTATGTTCATCGTTGGAAGAATCATTGCGTCTTTCTGAACATATTTCTCGACATTTGACTGTGCATCGTATGTTACAACTTTCAAATTAACATCTTCTTTCTTTGATGGGAGTTTGCCTGCATTGCTTAATAATTTTGCTACATCCTTATTACCTTGTAATGCCTCAATTTTATCATCAACACTTTCACCGTTAGGCTTTAACACTGAAATGACTTTATTTGAAGCTCCGATTTGTGCGCCACCTCCTATTGAGACATAATCATGTTAATTATCAAATTAAGTAAGTCTGACATTTTGGTTTACTTACCGGCACTGAAGAAATTAGCTAAGTGCTCTGGTGGCAAATCTTGTAATGGTGTTTCGCCAATTTTATCATAGTCTAAGATTGATATTTGAGCATTTTCAAGTACACCGGACTCTTCAAGTTGCTTTCTCAAATCATCTGGAATTTCATCAGGTAAGTCAAAGTATGCTGATGGCTTTTTAGTTGTCGTTGAACGCTCAGTCGTTGTTTGTTGAGTTGTTGTAGGTCTAATAGTTGTTGTAGGTTTAATGGCTGGTTGTGCACGATGTTCAGGTGAAAAGTTATTTCTTGGATCAAGATTGACATAGTTTACAGATTGATATTGTTGCTGGTTATTATTTGATTGTTGAAAGACTTGAGAAAAGTGATTTGACACACTACCCTGTGGATTTACATTAAATCTATGATGTTGCTCTGCTGCAATAAGTTTCGGTTGTTGCGTGACTTGTAAATGTCCAATGTTTCCGGCTAAGGGTCCGATATTTTTCTCAGCATTTATTTTTTCCATGTCTACAGCTTTTGAGTGGAAGAAAACAGGTGGATTGACAGTTTCTGTTATGTGATGTTCATATTTCGGCACTGATGATGAAACTTGAACATCTGTAGCTCCAAATGCTGATTGAATAAACTTATTTTGTTGCTGGTGGAATTGAACATCATCCTGTGTCTGGAATTGTGGCTGATTGAAGTGTGGACGTGATTGTGATAAGTTTGGAGCTGCTTGTTCCACTAAACCGCCTTGGAAGACATTTGGATTATGTGATTGTTGCTGCTGATGGATATTATGTTGAACTGCGGCATTTTGTTGAGCTGCAAATTGATTATGTTGATGTAATGGCTGAGAATGGTGAACTTGAGGCCGAGTTTGTTCTGGTTTGAAGTTCTGTGGTGGTTGATGTAACGGCAACTGCTGTTGTGGGAATTGTGGTGCATTGAATTGAACTGGTGGACGATTAAAAGGCAATAATTGTTGAGATGGGTTATGGATATTAGATTGAGGAGGAGGGGGAGGAATTCCATTAGGTCTTGGTCCTAAATGTTGGGGAGGTCTTTGAGGTGGTCCTTGATGATGCTGAATATTTGGATTCTGTTGGAATTGAGGCTGATTTTGTTGAAACTGTGGCTGGTTTTGCTGGAATTGAGGTGGGTTATGATTTTGCTGATTTGGCGGGAATCGAGTTTGTTGAGGTTGAGTTGGGAACGCATGATAATTGAAAGGTTTTTGATTCTGATTGAAATTTCCAGGTATAGCAGGTCTTTGAGGAGGTTTTAAGACTGTTTGATGCTGAGAATTTGGAGCACCAATTGGACCAGGTTGTGGGATTCGTTGAGGAGGCTGATTAAACTGCTGATGTCCCAATTGCTGATTATTAAACTGTTGTTGATGATTTATTGGAATTACAGGAGGTCCTTGTGGACGATGTTGCTGTTGCTGATGGTGATGATTTGGTGCTTGATGGAATTGTGGATGGAATGGTTTTGATGGCTCATGACTAGGAAGTGATAATTGATTATTTAAAACTCCTTGTTGCGGATGTGATACAAAATTATTTTGTGGATTGAATTCAAGTGCTGGTCTTTGATGAGGGAGAGGTTGGACTAATTGTTGCGGTGGATGATGGAAATTTCCGTTTGAATGAGAAGGTGGTGAATTTACAACACGTCCCTGATTAACAATTGAAGGAAACACATGCTGTGACGGTCTCTCTAATGGAGCTACTTGTAATGGACCAATTCGGTTTTGAGGTAATTGGACCACTGGCTGTATGGCACTTTCAAGTTTATCTTCATCATGAATAATATTATTATCCGACTTGCTGTTATGATTATGTGGATGATTGAATGTTACATGAACGCCACTATTGCTCTCGTACTGTTCACTTTCTGGTCTTATAATCGTACGTAACGTTGTTGATTTTCTTGGAATATTTGGAAGTGGCGTAACGATAATCGGCTCATCATGAATATCGTCTTCATGCTCATTTTGTTCATGCCCTGCTGGCGAAAGTGCAGCGACGGGATCATGAATAACTAATCCATTCTTCTCATCTTTATGATATTTGACATAAAACACTTGCACTTGTTCCTTCTTTTTCTTTCCATTCGACTGAATCAATGGTTGAGGCTCAGGCAATGTATCGTTACTATCTTGAATTATAATCTCAATAATAGGCTCTGGTGGCTCTGGATATTGATGATGGTGAAGATGATGACGATCTGGTGCTGATCCTCCTCCAATAAAATTACTGGGTTCGTAATCTATCGTGAAAATAATATCATATGTTTAAAGATGATGGAATGAATGGATGTACTGTGTATAAACATACACTATACTCATAATAATAATAATAAGTCAAGCTAATAGGCGTATTAAACTAACAACAATGGCCATAATCATATACTTACTATATCCATTCGGTTGATAATTATAGTTTCGTCTGTTGCTGTTGTTATCAAAATTTCCAAATAAATTTAAATTCCTCTTTCCACGTGTGTCTTTTGTCTTTATTGTGTCAGCCTTTGTCGCATTCTTCGACACTTTGTCATCGGCATTGACAACAATAATAAATGCAATTGCAGTCTGAGGAAGAAGAAAATAATGCATAAATAAAATAAAATTACATGCTTTGAAAATCACGCCTTAAAATCGCGTGCAATAAGCAACATTAATACAACTTGTTTGATGTAGTCATCAAGTTATGTTTTTAAGTTTATTTGTTTGTTTGTTTTGAAAAGGAACAAGAAGAGATAGTAAGAAGTAGATAGAGAGAATGAAAAGTATGTACTAAGCACTGAGTCAATGAACATTAATTTTTTGTGCTTCTGTGCAAATAAAGCAATTTAAAGAACAAGATAAACATTAGTAAAGACAATAAATGACAAATTGTTTTTTTATTGAGGAAACAAAAGGCACAAGTAAGAAAGTCAATAGACATAAACTGTGATTTATTTTCCACGCAGCCGATCATAAAATATTTACACAGTCTTCGTGCGTACGTTATGGGAATTTTTTTCGAGGTATTTTGCAAATATAAACTGAGAGTTTCTCAGCATGCAGAGCAAGTGGCAATTTAGAGAGAAGTGAGAGTTCAAAAAGAGAGATTTTCTGCAACTGGATTGGACTAATGTGATGAATGATCAATGATGTTTTTAAGGTGGAATGACAAGTGGAATTTCGAGAGTTTTCAGGAGGTTTGTCACTAATGTCTCTGATGCAAACCAAACCCACATCTTTACATAGGTAAGGGCTATAGATATCCGGTTAATTTGCTTAATACTTGGTAATTATTCTTGAACCTGCAGATTAGCTTAAGTTTGACTCGATACCATTTATTTAAGTTTACTCAAACAACACAGCCAATAATTCAATTAGCTAAATTCCAGACAGAGCAAAATAAGCATTCCATTTACGAGAATAATGCTCCAAATATCAAAACAAACTTGACGAGACGAGAAGGCTGTGGGGTTATCAAGAGCACACAGCTTCATTATTAGCAGATGTCAAAACATTTGGTGAGTGCATTGAATACTTAAAGAAAGAGAAAGAAAATGACAAAAGAAGAGAAAATAACGGAACCAATTACTAAGTTTTTATACATCTTGATGACTTTTGATGCTAATTTGTACACTAAGTGGGTGTACGACTATCTATTTCTGTCCATTCAGACACTTCATTCAATTACCAGTAATGTGAGTAAGAAATGGAAAGTTATTAACACTACATTTTTTGACTTCTTTTGATGAGTAATTTAACTTATTATTATTTTTTCTTCATCAGAAACTTATTTTTATTGTGAGTCGATAATTTATGTTTATTGTTACACCTGTATTCATTCATTATATGACTTCAAACTGTTTAATGTGCTCGGCAATTGACGAAATATTTTGTTGTCAAGTCACATGCGCATGCTTAATGAAACATGCCAAATTGCCATTCAGGCTATTAAGTGCTTCATTAAGGAAATTAAATAGTATTTTAAATTTTAACACACAAAATTAAGATGCTTTAATGGATATTGCAAATTAATTGAGTTGTAGGTTGTTCATGTGGATTTTGAGATGAACATTGAAATAAGAGTAAGGACGTGACATTTGCTAGAAGATTGTAACTCAGCTTGATTCAATTTGCATTGCATTTAATAACTTGAAAAAGTGATCAAAGTGACCTTTGCAATTTTAATTTTTAAATGTCAGTATCATTAAATTCGCTCAGCAATTAAATTTTAATTAATGTAAAAGTGAAGCTGATCTTTTCGATAAACAAGCACACCTAATTGCAGCACAGCACTTAAAACCTCCAAGACCGAAGGAATGCATAAGAAAACCACAAGATGTCGAAAGAAATTGAATTAAATTTTCCAGTCATTACTTTTAACAAAACAACAAGTAAGTCATTTGAAATAACAAAAAGATAAAGATCACTGAGGAATTGATTGAAAAAAATCGACGCCTTTTTTGTCCCGGATGAAGTTTCCATTGTTTTCATTTATTATAAAAAACAAAATTGAATTCCATGAAAAACAAAAATTCTCAAGCAAAAATTATACAGTACATGAATAGCATTCAGCATAAGGCAGATTCAACAGTACAGTATTTATAGGAAGGAAGTCAATTATCGTTGATGATTGTCGTTAAACTTTGGTTTAGTTTTTTTTATTAATTTGGACACAAATGAAAGTAAAAGTAATGCAGTCTGACAGGAGCAATTAATGTAAGCACCAATTAATTATGGTGAGTCATTAATCATGTTCATGCTGTTAATACTTTTACACCGAGAAAATTGAAATTATGACAGAAATTCAATCAGTTATTTTCTCACCATTAATGCCTGTGCATTACTGGTTATTCAATCAGCTAATTTGGATGAAGGGAAGTGAATCTTCACAAAATGTTTAAAAAATATCATTGATTTAAATTAATTAAAGCAATTATTAAGTTCACAAAACTTATAACGAAGATTATCTTTAATCATTTCTAACTAAGCGAGAAAAGCTTCCGACATGCTGAAGATTGAGCACATAAAAAAGTAAATTTAAAATTTTTGATTAACTACTTTTCATTACTCAGACATCAAGCAAAAAAATACGTGATGCTTGCGTATGATATCTAATAATAATTTAATAAGATAGGTGAAACAATCGCTGAGCCTAAAAAATTGTTTATCGTACATCATCATACATATGTAATGCGCCACGCCACAACAAGTATTCATCATAACGCTTCATAATTTCTTTCGTGCTTATTGAAAAATAAAAACTTATTTTTTTGGCTGAAGTTTTTGGTGAATTTTCTCGTAGATGACATATGGTCATCGATCTCAGATTCTGCTTATAATAAATGAATGATGTGACGACCCGTTCGCTTACCGAATTGCTTGGCTTGACTAGGGGTTCTAAAATCGGGAATATTCCCGAAATTCCCGTTTTCATACCAAAAAAAACCCGACAATTTAAATTAGTTTTTTTTATTTTGTATTTTCCATGAAAAAAACTACAATTTAAAGAAAAAAATTATAATAATGAAAACATACGTTAAGGAATTTAAGAGTTGAAATATTAAACTCAAATTTGAGTGTCCATCAAGTAGAACGGTGACCTAACGAATTGAGTGATGGACTATATATGGGTTTTTTGTGCTATTTTGTGAAAGCAGAAAAATAACTTTTTTAAATTTTGTGAAGTTGCCAGTTCTGAGATATGAGCATCTGAAAACGGAGCTAGGGCCGAATTTTAACTTTTAACACTTTCGACTATAAATCTGACAAGGCTTAACGAAAATTGTTCAAACTTGGTCAGTAATTTGTGCAAATGTTTCTTAATCAAATAAAATAAACGAAATATTTTTATCTAGCCTAACCGTTCTACTTGATGGACACCAAATTTGATGTTTTTTAAATCAAAAACATTAATTTATGAAAAACGAAGAGAAAAAGTATTTAAAAATATTTTTTAAATGTATGATGTCCATAAAATAATAAACTTAATTGACATTGGATTAAAGTAATTTTTCCAAAATAAAAAAACGTGCTTGAAATTAATATTTCTGGAATCCACCAACATCTACAAGAGCTGAACGTAGCTTTTCAATCTCCAATAATATTGTCTCAAAAATCGCAGTAGATTGCTAGACCAGTTAAAATCGTACTTTAAAAATTTTTTTAAAACCAAAAAGAATTGAATTTCAAACGGAAATTATTGTCAAAAGAATCAATTTGACAATCAAATCAAATAGAATTTAAATTTGATTTAAAAACCTAAATAAAAAGCTTTTAAAATTTTGAATTAATACTATATATTTTTGACCCTTAATTAACGCAAAAATATGAAATCACAATCAGTCAAAAAAGATCAAATTTCTCAGCAACCTTTGACTTTCAATTTTCTCACAATTTTCTTCAGTTTAATTCTTTAAAGACGTGTTTTTAAATATTGTTGCAAATCGGTGCAAATAAATTGGAACTTGACATTATTAATGCTTAAAAAGAAGTGGAGTTCAAGATAAAAGTGATAGTGAAGTGCTAAAATGGAAGCAACAGTAAAAATAAGCCAAAAGTGATGAAAAAATTAAAAGTGAAGAAAAAAATGAAAAATTTTCTGAGTGAACATTGAAACTTAAGAAAATTAAATTCAAGAAGCTGTAAAATTGAAGTGAAAGTGAGATTGATGAAGCTTGAAGGAACCAGGGCACAATTAAAGAAGCAAGAGGCTAGTGACAACGAAGAAAAAGCTAAGTATACTAATAAATAGTCCTCAAATTCATTTTCTTTAATGAAACCTGCCATTTGACTTCCTACAATTGCGTACGTAATGCTTGCAATACGTGAAATGATTACTTAAAAACGCATTGCATTGAGTTTTACATTTCGTTGGCCTTTGTTGATGAAAATTAAGAGTGGAAGTCGTTGAATAGGTCAGAGGGGGGTCGATGCAAGATGAGGAGGGGTAAAACTTGGGGGAGCAAAGTCTTTTGACCCTTTTTTTAAAAAGTTTTTCTGTTCTTTTTTTTTTTTGTAAATCGAGCCTATGAGTCATGTGTTTCTGCCTGTGAGACTTACTATCGTGGCTATTGATTGGTTCATCCTTGATGTAGAGTGGCATCAAGGACATTGATTGCTTGCTCGTAAATGAGACTTGCAATTTTTTGTCTAGATGCCTGTTCTCACACACAGCATTAGACTTACATCAGGTCCAATGACGTATCGTGTAGTTTAATGTGAAAAATGAGCCTCTGAAGATTTGGGTTGTAATCAATAGAAGCTTAATTACAAGCGTCTAACCCTAACCCTAAATTGTGGTTCTTTTTCATGCTCAGGTGTGTGGTAAAGAACGTTTTTGCCTCTATCTCGGACTGTTCTGATTCAAAGCCTGAAATGTGAGCAGTAATGGAATGAAAACACGATTGATTCATTTCCTTGGTTGAAATTAAACTTGATATGATTAACTTTGAAAGAAGAACCATCAAAAAATTTGCTTTCTCAGTTTAATCCCTCCTTCATCTTGCATCAGCTTCTCTCTTACCTGTCCATCGACTTCCATCTTTAACTTACATCGAGAAAGAGCAAACGGAACATAGTACTTAATGTTATGTGATTTTACTTAATCATTTTACGTAACGTAGGCTTTACGTGAGCCTTTTTGAAAGTTTTTCTGACTAATTTCCAACAGAGAAAGTGAATTTGATATCATGAAACTTTAATTTAAACAGCAAATCTTAATTAAGAATTAAATTTATTTTTATTTTACTAATTCGTTTTTAAAATTGCCATATATTTTAGGTTCTTTAAGGATCAGCACTTATAGCCATCATAAAACATTTCATATGTTGTGTTATTTTCTTCACATTTGAACAATTACTCATCGTTCACACACAAGTAAGCACATAGTATGAATATTTGATACAAATTGGATTTATATAGACTTTTTTAACTGACAAACTACAGAAGAATTGTCTTGACGATTTCTTATTACCGTTGAAATTTTATTCTGTAATATTCTTTACATATGGAAAAACTTATTTTAATTAGTTTTTCATGCCTCTTTTTGCCTTAAAGTTTACACTTTAAGAACGAATAACATAACAATAATGGAGAAATACACTTTATAAAAAGAAACACAATATTTTTATCCAAGAAATATAACGGATAAAAAAAAATTAAATTTTTGCAAGTAGCGAAAACTTACAATGCAAATTTCTGCAGTTCCCTTTACTCGTAGAATTGCCCTTAAGGAATTTAAGAGTTGAAATATTAAACTCAAATTTGATGTTTTTTAAATCAAAAACATATATTTATGAAAAACGAAGAGAAAAAGTATTTAAAAATATTTTTTAAATGTATGATGTCCATAAAATAATAAACTTAATTGACATTGGATTAAAGTAATTTTTCCAAAATAAAAAAACGTGCTGGAAATTAATATTTCTGGAATCCACCAACATCTACAAGAGCTGAACGTAACTTTTCAATCTCCAATAATATTGTCTCAAAAAATCGCACTAGATTGCTAGACCAGTTAAAATCGTACTTTAAGAATTGTTCTAAAACCAAAAAGAATTGAATTTCAAACGGAAATTATTGTCAAAAGAATCAATTTGACTATCAAAACAAATAGAATTTAAATTTGATTTAAAAACCTAAAGAAAATACATGGTGTAAGTGTAGCATTTAACTTTTTTTTTGTTGATTTCCGGGAATATTCCCGTTCCGAAATCTTACGGGAACGGGAATTCTGGAACCCCTAGGCTTGACGCAATGTATTTAACCTAAGTGAACTTGATGGGAAAATGACTTTTGTGACTTGACTTTTGATGGGAATTTTATGTTTATTTGGAAAGTGAGAAGGTGTTTTTTGAGGAATTGATTGGAATGTTTGTGATTTGCATAGACTACTAATGTTGAATAGGCTTTACTGGTTTTATATAAATTTTGGAACATGAAATAGGAATGAAACCGGATAGGAACTTCATAGATCCGCTATATCATTCCATTATTAAGGAAGTCTTTAGGAGTAGCTTTAGAGTAAGAAAATAAAAGCAGTAGAAATTACAAGATTTTAGATCACAAAGATAAATCTTCTAAGATTCCATACGTGTTAGAGCAGTAAGCAGTAAGCAGCATGAAAATCTAGTCCAATATTGAGTTAACAATCCTTTTGAAGTTTAAATTGATTGCAATGTGATCTATGTGATTGAAGACCTCAACTAAGGTAATTTATTCAATACCACAGTATCATTATTTCCACAAAGAGGATATATAAAACAAGCCATTGATACATGCTCATAAAAAACTAGAGAAATGCACATTCCACACTTCCAACTTTTTTTAACACTCACTCCTCAAATTTCGCACATGTCTCACTGTCAAAATTCGTATTGTATTACTTGGGTATTACTAAACAGTGGCTATTATGAGATGATTGAATTATCTTTGCTTAAGAATCTTAATCCGATTTACCGTTGTGCATTAAAAGAAAAATAACATGAAAATATTTTAATTTTTCAACATGTGATCTCATAAGAGGTGTAATTACATCACATCAGACAGAAAGTTCCTTCAACTGAATTTCACTTTCATGACCTCTCAAAAGAAACTGACTGACGAGATAAAATTTCGATGCATTTTTAAACATAAACTCGTTTTGTTTTGGGATTTCCAAAATGTGCTACATCATAATTTATATTTTTTTTTGCGAAAATAAACCTTTTCTTGTGCCTCAAATAATTTATGATAGGATAGACAGCATTTCGAATATTAAAAGATGTTATTTCGCAAGTTCAATTAGCTCATCTCGTAACAGTCCAGTCAATCATTTAGTCTGTCGTTCAGTAGTTCAGTCATTATGTCTCAATAATGAGATGCACAGATTTACAATTAGCTGACAGGCAATAATTTTTTAAAAATAAAATTCATAACGCAACATGCATCAATTTGCCTATGTCTTGCTAATAAATCTCACGTAATTATAATGGGTGCTCTATTGAGACAATATTACGCTAATAAGCAACGCCAATGGATTTGTTGTCGAGCAAGAAACGAGAGATGAGAAAAAAAAAAGAAAAAGGCACCGAATCAACTTGAAAAAAGAAGAAGCTATAGCATGAAAAAACGAAAGATTACTTTCACTTGCAGCCGCACCGCATTCGATGAGATAAATTTGCTCAAAAGAAGAAGAAAGAAGCTCGGTGAGATACAGGGTAGAAAAACTTGAATGCAGAAATCTCGTCATTTGCCAATAAGAGCATGTATACATTGATTATTCTGAACTGGTACATTACATCGATGAGTTTTTCATATTTTTTACGGATAGTTTATTGATTTATGAAACCGGAAAGTTTTGTTTTTTGGTGGATTTTACATCGTTGTAGTTTATATATCCTTATCTTTCACTTTAATGGACTTCAAAGGTCACGAGAAACTTGATTTTCGTTGAAGATCTTGGAAATTGGACTACCTTTGATCGTTGGGTTGATTTAAATTCCCAAAACAAAGATCAAAAAAGAATTAGATCAACCCACTTCCAAAAAGTCGTCATTTTTGACAACCAAATTCACAATCTGAATTTTTATAGCCATAAATTCACAAAAAAGGCATTTAATATGCTAAAATTTCAAATTTAAATTTCATTTATGGCATGCAGCGCCCCACAAATTATTCTAAAATTTCTTTATTCACATGATGTCTACCATTCGCTTTCCAAGAAGTAGGTCAATTATTACTCGTTTCATCTTTGTGCATTGATAAATTGTGCATACATTGCAATATTTTTTTTCCCATCTGAATAATGTGAATGGCAATACGAATTGTATGACACCGTTTCCCAATCAGCAATATTCATCCATTCATTTCGAATTAGATGCATGGCTAGAGGCATAAAGCAATGATCACTGTGCATAATATTCAAATGCTTACCGTAACAAGAAACAAAATCCTCATTTTTCAATTCTTTATTTTTTTTTATGTATGTGAAACTTTCTTCCTTTTACTTCCAACTGCACAAACTGATTGCAATCAGTTTAATTACAAGCAATGTAGTTTTTTTGTAGAGCTTTCTTTCCTATGTGCAGTAATGTCACTAAATTTAATTGAATTTTCTCAAGCTAATAATTTTCCCATCGCATAACACACACTGGATGGTGTCGTTTTTATCATTATACACTGTTCACAGCAAGTAATCCATATAAGTTTTAATTGCACAATATTATTAGGTACACATTTAAATAAATTCAATTAATCCACAAGTAAATCCAGTTGCTGTTAAAACAATAAAACAATGATCATTTAAGATAATTAAAGTTAATATATCTGTGTGATTAGTCAGGCAATCAATTGTTTGTGAATAAAAATCACATTAAACGTAATTAAATTCACCGAATATAAAAAAAAATCAAGTGAAAGTCACAAGATGCTGCTGACAAACACACTAAACTGACCGAGACAACTCTTAGATCTTTTTTTTTTAAATATTCAAAAAAAGCGAGATTGTCTTAATTATATATATTTACACTTCGTTCAAACTGTCTTCACACGATATAGTTTTTTTTTTAAAATAACCAAAAAATTTCCGAAACTTCCGATGCGTTTAAAGCATTCGAAATTCAATCTCCAACTGAAGTCCATCTCAAGAAATTGAAGAAAAAAAAAAGACTTCTTCCAAAAGTCGTGTGTGAGAGTCTTTTTTTATGTTTTTATTATCTTTTTTACTTTTCATTCGCCTGTTTTCATTGAGAAAGTCACTAAGGTAGTGCTTTTTTGCCTTTCTAACGTAATTTGCTCGTTATTAAAGAAGTCCACGGTTGTAAAAAAATATGAAACAAGAAGAAAAAAATTCCCCACCGCATTTAGTGAATCTCAATAATTTTTTTTTGTTTGTGATCTTTTTTTTTCTCTACAAAATTGCAGAGAAAGGTTTTGGAGATGTTGGTACGAAAATTGAGCATTGCTATGCACGAGAAGAATTTGCTTAGGAAACAAAATGACATTTATTTTTTTTTATTGCTCTCTCATTCGATTTCCATTTAAGTTTTTTTTTTTGATAAGTTCACGAATTCATTTTCGATTTATGTGCAATTGATGAATGAAAAGGCAATTACTAGGTTTGATGATTAAGCTTTTGTTGGGTCTTTTATTTTGAATTTATAGAGAAGAAAATCATCTTCACATCCCTCATCTTTTAATAGATATTTATGGTTCCGAAATATTAGATTTTGAGACGGAATGTCTATAAGGTTTTGATCAAGGCATGGAAACTATCCCAAATATCATATTTATCCCACATATCCCAAAAATATTCAAAAAATTCCTGAGCATGTGTGCACGAAAATAAAGATATCCCAGCGTATCCTTAGTGTATTGGACGTGTAATTTCAGGATATGATAGGATATCTCAATTCTAATGCATAAAGGCTCAGGGATTATTTTGAATATTGTTGGGATGTATGGGATAGTTTTCACGCCTTGGTTTTGATGAAGCTAATTAGGAAGTTATGTAGAATTGTGAGGCAAAGTCTTATACTAATCGACAATATTCTATGTAATGATTAAGAAGATCGACTTTAGGTGGGAATCGAACCCAAGTTCTTAAAAAGATAGGGTCGCAAATATCCAGCTTACACTGGCATACTCGCCTATATATAGCTCAATATCCCAGATTCCACTTTGCTTAAAAAAAACACCAAATAAGGTAAATCATTTGAAGCTTAATCAATTAAATCCCGGAAAAACTATTAAATATACAACTTTTGACTCCCTTAAAAATCAGACTGGAAAGTTTACAATATCCATTGATTCCTCAGGATAAAAGATTTATTATTTCAATTTCATTTCCGAAAGCAGAATTTAATAGATTATGATTTATAACTTATAGTACAATGAATTCCTCATGACTATCCAATTTAGAGAGAATAAAACCTAAAACATAATCCAATATCCAAATGAAGAATTTAATGACTATTTAATATCATTAAGCATCACATTTTTTCAACTATAAAAAATTAATTTCATTTATTATGCAAGACAGAAAACAGTTTAAATGATAATTAAAGTAGTAATTTGTGGTTCGTCCACAGCCAACATTGATATATTATGTTTACATGTCATTTGGTGAATCTCACGTCTTAAACATTTCATCTCTTTCTATTTCTTTCTGCTTTGTTGCCTTTAAATTTGATTTATTGTCAAACAACAGAAGAGAGATGAGTGTTGTATTATTAAATAAATGAGTATGAGGACAGAGGTCTACATATATGCATAATTTTCCCAGGAATTAGTCTCATACAGCTGGCAAATACTTTTGTTTATGAGAAATCACTTTTATCTTGAAGCTATCAAAGTTTATTGTTCGTTTATCACAGTTTATCATGGGATGAAGATATGTGAATGAAAAAAATGAGAAAATTGAAGATGCAAGCACGTGAGTTATAGAGAATTATTAATATAAATTGCTTATGTTGTGTTTCAAACTTTTAGAGTTTTTTTTTTTTGTGAAGATATAAAGCTAGTGAGGCTATGTTCCTATGATATTCATTATCATTTATGAATACAACCTTAAAGAAATAACTTATTTGATAAATTAAGCTCAAGACCTTGAGATTGTTAATAGTAAATGTTTACCAAAAAGATTTCCATTTCATAATAATAATAATAATCACCATCACCCATAGTGCACAATTAAGCATAAATGTTTCTTTTAACAAATTGCGTCAATCGATTTTTTTAAATTGCTGCTTTTAAAGTGTTTGCAGAAAAAATAGTTTATTGATATGAAAAAAAAAACTTGAGCCTCACTCAATGTGTTTCAAAAAAAGCCCATAATCATCGTCAGAGCATTCAAATAAAAGTTTTTGAAGAGATCTTTGACAGTATAATATTAAATATTTCTTGTCAGTAGCTGATTAACGAGCGAATGAATAGACTGTGATTATTAAAATTAGGTTTTATAGCATTATATGTAAATAGTTCACACAAAAGCTTCGCAATTGAAAATAGATTACATCACATCATCGATCAGCTTGTCAAAGAAGACAAACTAGTCCAACAAAGAGGAAGTAAGAAGAAAGAATGGAGAGAAAAATTCACATTGTAACAATTTTTTTGACACTCAAAATATGCTTATAAACTTTATATAGTCATTGTCGTTATTACGTTCCTCTATTGTACTTGAACGAAATTTTAATATTCCATCACTTGCTTGCTATAATTTGTCATTAAATCATTTCAAAATGGCTATAAAAAAACGTGTTTCCTGCATGCCGCAAAATTCAATAATTATTCTAAGAATTTGAAAGAAATTCAGTCTTTTTTTTTGGGCATCATTGCATAACTTTATTCATAAAATTATTACTATTATGAGAGTATAGAAAAAACGTCACCGTAAGCGGATCATTATAGATTTATACAGTTATTAAGTGTTGCATAGAAAATTGTTGTGGGAAATTCATTAAAGGCACAGTCGCTTGAGACGTGCTGCTTTTAAGCATTCGCGAATTGCAGAGTTGCTGTTTAGATCTGAGATATTTTCTCAACCATGACAATTTTGTTAAGCGATAGGGTGCTAGAAGTCCAAAGAAACTGGTTGTTACTTTTGTATCTTTAATTTTCGAATTCTATTGGATTGAATTTTTGTATGAAACGGGGCAAATAACTATGATTATATGAATAATATTCAAATTTCAAATGAACGTTATGATAAGAATCTTGATCTTTCAGATCTCAACTCTATTTAAATTCAAAACTTTTGCATATCTTCCTCAATTAAATTCACAAATGACAATGAGCATGAAACGATATGGGAACTTTTAAAATTGAAAAGTTCAAAGACTCTCCTGATTCACTTTCAATTGATGTCTGTTGATGTCTATCAAATAAACAAAGACAGTTACTTCATTTCGGATTGAACATTTTCGGAGAGTTCTTCAAGATTGCGTGAATGTTGACGACAATTTAAAGCCATAAACAATAAAAATCTTATACAATGTATCTGAGACTTATAACACATTACTACATGAAATCCCATGATATAAAATATAAAGCCCAATTCATCAGGCAAAGTGCCCAAGAGCATTGAAATTAAGTGACAGTGTAAAGTAATTTTTATGTCATGCATTGAGTGCGCCACGAGAAATCATAAGCTTATTCATAATTATGAGTCGAACTGGAATCTTGTTCAATTAAGATGCTTACTTAAAATGGATAAGTAGTAACTTGGTGAAGATAGAGATTGAAAGTATAAAGAAGAGAAGACGAAAATTTGCAGACAAACAACTGTGCATATAAAATAGACTTTTCGTGACCGCTGTGATTGAATATCAAAGAAATATATTCGTTTTGATAGTGGGAATGTGTCGGTTGAGCTTCTGCCAAACGTTTACTTTCGAAATTATTCAAATGTTCGTGAAACGGATTCATTTCTTTATTTATTTTCATTCAACGATAAACGAAAAATTATTTCTGGTCATGTCCCATAAGACATCATCATCAATTTTTCCAACCAACTTGTGTAACGTAATAACACTTATTTTTCTCTCTTTTTTTTACCGGACTTGGCATTATCGAAACAAAAAGTGAAAAACAATTTTTTTTAAACTTAATACCCTAAATGCATTGCAGCAGTGCACAGAGAGTAGGAAGAAGAAGAAGAAGAAGAGATGAATAAAAAATTAATTGTAAAGGTCAACATTAATTATGCATTACTGTGTGAAATCATCAAACGCCGCTAATTTTCTTCTTTCTCTTCAATTTATTTATTTATATGAAACGGTTAATAGTCATGGACATTGAGCAACATTATTTATGTGTATGAACATTAAAATATCCCCAAAAATTTACTTTTGTTTTCAATTTCCGGTAAAAAAAACAATTTGTGGACTTTTAAACAAGATATTAGCTAGCATAATCTTCTTCTTCTTCTTCTGGGTATGAGGAATAAACTTGGGTGACTATCGAGTTTTTCATTAATGAACCGGACTTTGTATTGATTTAACTAGAATAGGAGCAGAGATTATATTAAAAGGTTTTCACAGGTTTTCAATGTTTAATTTGATTCGGGGTGTCAAAAATGCTTGCTTAACCATACCTAGAGTGATATAGAGAAGATATTTAGTATTGAAAGTAGTACCAGGGCCAAGAAACTCGGAATTCTTAATTTTCCCAAAGTCATGAACACCAACTTTTCATTGATCAGGCTAGCTATTTAATACAGATTTTAGGATTTCCCGCCAAAAACTTACAGATAGTCACCCTAGTCATATCTATATATCTATGAGAAAAGTGAATGGCAGTTTTTAATTGATCGCTATAAAGAAGAAGAAGACAAGAGAAGAGGTGGACATGGAGATGAAATAATCTTTTCAATTATTCATGTTGACGGTTGATTTAATAGCACAAAGTCTTATTAGATTGTAAATAACCAATTACTCTTCGACAGTTTCATGTCAAGTCTTATTATCGTTTCTCTGCATTGTATGTTTATTATTTTGTATGCTCACAACATAAATACAGCTCGCAAACTATCCTAAATCCAAAATTGTAAATGCTCACGTAGAAAAATTAATTTTTTGCGATAAAGAGGTGCCAATTAGTCAGGGAAAATAAAGATATGAACATAAACACATTTATCAACAGTTCTGCTAATTTGCTTGTTAAGTTGACGATAAAGCTTCGCGTATCATTTCACTT